TGAAAATTGCATGCTTTAAATGCCCCATATTGGACTCATGGCAGATGTGTTTTGTTCCATTGTTATGTAATGTTTTAGACTTAAAATTTATAAACACATTTATTTTATTTTTTTAAATTCCTTTATAATGAAGGATAAAGGAAAAAACAAATGAAATCCTTCTCCTCTATTGATTAAAAATTATTAAAATACGGCTTATGATAATCGGAGATAATTAATATCATTCTTAGAAACTGTTGTAAGTTTTCAAATGACCTTGAGTTGTGATCTATTATTCACACTGATCATTGACTGAAACAACCAAGTAAGAAAACTGCTCGCCGAATCTGTCTTAAATACATAATACATTTTAAATACTTAATGGAATCAATATATTGATTTGCCCATTCACAGTTTTCTGTTTCTATTGTTTTTTTTTTTTTTAGTTAGTTTTAAGACTTTTAACATGCCTCTCGCCTGCAGCCCCTGGTGTTATGGGCGGTTGTTTTCCTAAGGTTAAGTGCAAAGTGGAAGTAAGAAGAGTTAAATTAAGACGTGTTTATAGTTACCCATAGTTGCTTAGTGATATGAAGCACAAGTTGAGTATTAAGTTAACAGTACAGATGACACTATCTAAATTTTTGTTTACCACACTGCATACAACACTTGAAAATAGAATAACTTAAAAAAAATTCATATGATTTTATTTTACTCAGATGTAAAACTCCATTGTTGTTTTATTAATTGTTTATATTAAGAAAAAAATTAATTTTAGGTAATTATTTCTGTATTAAATAGAATTTTTATTGAAACCTCTTAAAATAATCAAAATATATGTTTAAATAATAATTATTAACCAAGAAAATTTAACATGAATATAAAATTTGTTACATTTTAGACTTTAGTTTATACAACCATTTATCAAGATGGGTTTAGAATTTTTAATTTAAATAATATTACAACTAAAAGCAATTACTATTAAATATTTATCTTATGTATACAAATATAAAAATTATCAAAGAACTCTTATGTTTTCTACGTTGAAAAATATAAAATAACTTATTTAGTTTTAATTAATGCAAATATAATTTCCAGTAAATTCTACTTGTATAAAATATCTTGTCAAAAAAAAAAAAAAAAAAATTTCCTATACCAAAAACAAACAAAAAATACTATAATTTTACTATACAAAACATTTTGTTTTATTTTCATGTTATTTTTAATCAATTCAATTACTATTTTACTTAGTGTCATTCGATTACACTTTACATGTATGGGCTGTTAGTAAGAAAGTATAATTCACTCGAAAATAATTGTTTTTTTAGAGTGTAACACTTCAAGCATGGATAGTTATGTTACATGTTGTAATAGTTTTGCTATATCATTTTGAGGTGTACGTCACAAAATTTTTAGTTTTCATATTGCCATAGTAAAAAGGTCTTAAAGTTTACTGCATTTTCATGAAAAACTTAAACTGCTTTAGAATTTCAGGCAAAAATTATCACACTTTAATTATTTGGTGAAATTACATTATAAAAAGGACAAATAATTTTTAAAGGACTTGGTCGCCATTGGTTAGTTATTAAATTAATGATTATAGCACATATTGTCAACTTATTGCAAAAAATCCTTAAATGGCATTTTATAACCTTAAGGAATTAAGAATTTTCCCAGTATGAAATCTGAAAATTATGCGCTTGTTGTAATTTTATTTGATATATAAAAGGGTTTGTATAATTTTCATGCTCTTACAGTCTTTTTATATAGATAAATAAAGCCGAAATTCATAAAAATGTACTTAGTTAGTTTTTGCAATAACTCATCGATATTTTCTATATAGATAAATCAGTTAAAAATTTAAAAACATAATTTATATAAATTTATTGCATAAAATAATCTGGCTACTTATAACCTGATATACTTTCCTATAAAAGTAATATTGAACAAAGCTGGGACCACAAAACCGGATAAATACGATTCGTTCCAATGTAGGTTATATGCAGTTATTTATCAGAATTGTGATTGAGGGAATTGGTTTGAGAAAAATTGAGGAAAATAACAAGTCCTATTTGGTCAACTTGGGTTTTGATCAGATAATAATTTGTCTGATTCAAATTTCAAGCTTCTCCTCTGGATTATATTATCCATTCTGCTGGATTTCTTATCCATGGAATATATTATCTTTTTGATATTTCGTTCCCAAGTTTCTGGAAACTTTTTCAGTGTAATAAGTCCCCTCAGAAATCTCTGAAATATTTGAACAAAAAAAAAAAAAACAGAACACATATTTTAAACAGAGATAATAAACAAGATACTGGAATAATAATAGATGTAAATGATAACAAAGCAGGAAGTTGATATTGTATATAATTATCACAGGTATATAAAAATGTTAATAGTAAAGAGTAGTACAACAGATGAAGGCTGATGAAGAAAAAAAAAGGAAAGAAATCAAAATGAAAAATAATATAGCTATTTAAGAAATGAAGATGAGCAAAATCATACACTGAGAAAACAGAAACAGACACAGACAAAACTGTTATTTGGTTGGAGTTTATGCGTTTGAAGGATTTTAAGGTACAAATTTTGTACAGCTCCTTATTACCAAATTAATTAATAAACTGTAATTGAAATTTTAAAAAATACAATGAAAATTGCATGCTTTAAATGCCCCATATTGGACTCATGGCAGATGTGTTTTGTTCCATTGTTATGTAATGTTTTAGACTTAAAATTTATAAACACATTTATTTTATTTTTTTAAATTCCTTTATAATGAAGGATAAAGGAAAAAACAAATGAAATCCTTCTCCTCTATTGATTAAAAATTATTAAAATACGGCTTATGATAATCGGAGATAATTAATATCATTCTTAGAAACTGTTGTAAGTTTTCAAATGACCTTGAGTTGTGATCTATTATTCACACTGATCATTGACTGAAACAACCAAGTAAGAAAACTGCTCGCCGAATCTGTCTTAAATACATAATACATTTTAAATACTTAATGGAATCAATATATTGATTTGCCCATTCACAGTTTTCTGTTTCTATTGTTTTGTTTTTTTTAGTTAGTTTTAAGACTTTTAACATGCCTCTCGCCTGCAGCCCCTGGTGTTATGGGCGGTTGTTTTCCTAAGGTTAAGTGCAAAGTGGAAGTAAGAAGAGTTAAATTAAGACGTGTTTATAGTTACCCATAGTTGCTTAGTGATATGAAGCACAAGTTGAGTATTAAGTTAACAGTACAGATGACACTATCTAAATTTTTGTTTACCACACTGCATACAACACTTGAAAATAGAATAACTTAAAAAAAATTCATATGATTTTATTTTACTCAGATGTAAAACTCCATTGTTGTTTTATTAATTGTTTATATTAAGAAAAAAATTAATTTTAGGTAATTATTTCTGTATTAAATAGAATTTTTATTGAAACCTCTTAAAATAATCAAAATATATGTTTAAATAATAATTATTAACCAAGAAAATTTAACATGAATATAAAATTTGTTACATTTTAGACTTTAGTTTATACAACCATTTATCAAGATGGGTTTAGAATTTTTAATTTAAATAATATTACAACTAAAAGCAATTACTATTAAATATTTATCTTATGTATACAAATATAAAAATTATCAAAGAACTCTTATGTTTTCTACGTTGAAAAATATAAAATAACTTATTTAGTTTTAATTAATGCAAATATAATTTCCAGTAAATTCTACTTGTATAAAATATCTTGTCAAAAAAAAAAAAAAAAAAATTTCCTATACCAAAAACAAACAAAAAATACTATAATTTTACTATACAAAACATTTTGTTTTATTTTCATGTTATTTTTAATCAATTCAATTACTATTTTACTTAGTGTCATTCGATTACACTTTACATGTATGGGCTGTTAGTAAGAAAGTATAATTCACTCGAAAATAATTGTTTTTTTAGAGTGTAACACTTCAAGCATGGATAGTTATGTTACATGTTGTAATAGTTTTGCTATATCATTTTGAGGTGTACGTCACAAAATTTTTAGTTTTCATATTGCCATAGTAAAAAGGTCTTAAAGTTTACTGCATTTTCATGAAAAACTTAAACTGCTTTAGAATTTCAGGCAAAAATTATCACACTTTAATTATTTGGTGAAATTACATTATAAAAAGGACAAATAATTTTTAAAGGACTTGGTCGCCATTGGTTAGTTATTAAATTAATGATTATAGCACATATTGTCAACTTATTGCAAAAAATCCTTAAATGGCATTTTATAACCTTAAGTAATTAAGAATTTTCCCAGTATGAAATCTGAAAATTATGCGCTTGTTGTAATTTTATTTGATATATAAAAGGGTTTGTATAATTTTCATGCTCTTACAGTCTTTTTATATAGATAAATAAAGCCGAAATTCATAAAAATGTACTTAGTTAGTTTTTGCAATAACTCATCGATATTTTCTATATAGATAAATCAGTTAAAAATTTAAAAACATAATTTATATAAATTTATTGCATAAAATAATCTGGCTACTTATAAACTGATATACATTCCTATAAAAGTAATATTGAACAAAGCTAGGACCACAAAACCGGATAAATACGGTTCGTTCCAATGTAGCTTATATGCAGTTATTTATCAGAATTGTGATTGAGGGGATTGGTTTGAGAAAAAATGAGAAAATAACAAGTCCTATTTGGTCAACTTGGATTTTGATAAACTTTTATGAAGTGAATCTCACCCGTATCGCCTAGTGGGCGGGTTGGACGAATGGGCTAACGCATTGTGCACAGCACCACCGTTGCCACAACCTGATATATGACAAATGTGTTATAAAAAATAGTCACGAGTTCGCGTCCTGGTGCCAAGGCTTCTTTTAAATCCCCAGTAAAATAAATAAATTAACAAAATATGAGGAGTATTAATCCAATGAGCCTTGTTATTTTTTATTGTTTTATTATATTTTATTTTGCCTACTTTACTATTTATATGTTTAATTCAGATAATCTTCTTTTGATTTTAGAACAGTACACTTGAAAAACGAGGTGGTGCTCAGAGCGCCCCATTGTTTGTTTGCTCAGTAAGTAAAAGAGCGAAATTCACTGGCCAGGTTTCGGGAATGCTCTATGGTCCTGTGAGTATAGATGCAATTGCAGACAAGCTGATTGCAGACATTTGGACTGCTTGCAGGTCTAAAGATAACATTGCTCATCATGATACCCTTTGGCGTGCTACTGCTCTTCTCACATCCATCCTTGGTATGTTGGTGAAAATGTTTTTGTCAATGATTTTACGTTTCTAGTTTAAATTCAAATCTTGCTTACCAATTTACTGTTTTTCTTTTTTCATATAATATTTATATCATGATGAATAGATGATGCATCCATGAAAGTTTTCTTCTTTTTTTCTCTTTATAATTTTTTGTTTTCTTGATTCAGTTTGCCAATAAACTGTGTATGTTTGTAGAAACATTTAATAATAATTATTTTTAAACTGAATTGTTTATAAAAGAAAGTATGAAAAATAATCAAATTAAAAATGTTTGTTGTTCTTCCCTTCCTTGATTTTTAGGCTCTATGGGGTTTTGTTAATGCCAGAGTTAAAATCGCTTCCAGCACTGGAACACGAACTCATATTTTTTAATCTTTCATAACTTTTTTTATCTGGTTGCCAGGCATTGCATGATGGTTAGAAATCCCGTCCTTAAATTAAAATATAAGAATGACCTTATAGATATTGCTTAAACCTGCAGTTTACACCAAATGGAGAGTAAAATCTTTCCCTCTATTTAATTTTAGACAGCTTCTTTATTGAATAACTATCAAGCTATCAAATTTTAATTTTTTTTAATAAATTAAAAAAAAAAGAGCTTTAAGATTATGAATTTTTTTTTCATCTATTTATCGATATCTACATACCAACCAATGAATATAATATAACCATAACATAAAATAACTGCAATAAGTAAAAATTAAAATATTTTAATTTTTAAAGTTCTCCAGTCTTCTTCAGATGTCGTATTTTTCACTACTTTCCTAATTTCCCCCAGTATTAATGATAATTTTGTCGTTCACTTCATCTATGAGTCCATCCTGTTTGATGTAATTTTGTCCTATTTTCTCTCAAACAAGGGCATGCGTATTACAATGTCATTCCTTAATTATTGACTTTTGTAATAAACTTTGAAATTTAATTATTGAGATTTATATTAAAAATAAAAATTATTCAGATTGTATTAGGTGTTTAATATGTTACAAAATTAGGAACACCGAGGAAGTTGCTTCATGTGGTCGCCTGGTCACAAGTTGAACTGTTCACCGCTGAAGCTATGTCCACTGCTGTTCAGTGTTGGCAGTGGCTCATTACGTCAAGACCGAGCATAGAACTGCTTTGGCTTGAAGAAATGATCACTGCTTGGCAGGTTAGTTTCAGTTATATAATTTTAATTTTATTATTATCCTAAAATCAAGGCAAACTTAGTTATATTTTCATTTTTGAATAACTAAGTTTTGAATTTTTAATAAAATTAGTTTTCATTATAAAAAAGGTATATAAATAATGCTTTCCCAAATTAACAGCATCGCTAGTTTGAAGGAGTGAAGAACTATTGACAAAGCAGAGGTGTTAAGCAAGTTATCTTTTTTTTTTTATTCTCCCCTTCTTTGCTTTTTAGGCTATATGGGGGATTTCCTGGGTCAGAGGGTAGAGACGGGAGATTAATGCCAGACTTAAAAGCTCCCCCTGGCACCGAGATGAGAACTCATAATTATTTTCACCTTTAAACTTCAGTTATTAGTTTACAAGGCAACGCACGGTGCAGTGCACAGGCGTTAGCCCACTCAGCCACCCCGCCCCTAAAACAAGTCACCCAAATCACAATCCCCATGACGATTATTTTAAGCTAACAAGAGCAGAATAGATTGTCATTTTTTGCCTCAGGACTGAATATAACCCCCTAAATTTGAATCTCTTCAGGAAATTCAAGATAGGGCCCAGCCCCCTGTGTGAATGTGGCCGAAATGAACAAACCACACAGCACATTCTACAATGCTGCCTGTTAGTGGAGGACATACAGAGACGGCAGATATGTCACCAACTGACTAGATGTTCCGAAGTCTGGGGGACCCTAAGGAGAACCGCAAATTTTATTTTTTTACTTTCTGACACAGCCTTCTAGAGGGAAGAATAAAGAAGTGTATAATATTAATAATGATTTTTAAAAAATATATGGAGCAATACTATTGTATGTTCTTGTCTTGTATACCTGGATTCCTTCTATTTTCCTATTTTTAATTTTATTTAATTGGCTAAATCAATATTTATTGATGGAACTATGTTTAAGCTGTTTGATGAAAACTAGATAATAAAAGAATATGCTATCCTGTTTGGACAAACATAGAATATAAATGACATATCATAATTTTTATTTTTAATGTACTGATTTTGTTCTCTACATTTTCTTTTTTTTATATCAACAGAACTTTTTAAATTGATTTTCCAACCAGTTAATTTTGAAATTAACATTTTACAAAATAGTATAGATTTCAGTCAGTTTTATTTAGTTTTCTTATTCTTGGACTGTATTAAAAGCAATATTGGCATTAAGTAATTTTTAATTACTTCTTAACATTAATAAAGAAAAAAAAAATAGGTGTTTCAATAGTTAGTGGTTTTAAACCTAGTGTTTTCTTTATTAATTCTGTTTTGTTTTTTATCAAAATGTCTCACAGAATGATCATTTTGATTTACATAATTTACTTAATTTTTGACTTGTTATGTTTTTTATAATTTCTTTTTTAATTCAGTACACAGTTGATACGAAGCTTGGGTTATTCTCTGAAGAAAAAGAAGAAGTAAGCCCTCTGGCTGCTTATGAAGGATGCGTACTGGAACCCTCTCCTCCATTCGTCAAACCTCATGATATTTGGATACAGGTAGTGTATGCTATTATTTATTGAAATTGTTAATTATTTTCCAATTATGATCCATAAAAGTATTTAAAGTAATAAATTATCCAAATAAAGTATTTGTTGTCCTCACCATTATTATAGTATTTAATTTGCTTTTAATTGGTTGAGTACATTCTTCATACTCTTGGAGACGGTGATAATTTGCATCATTTCATAAGTTAATGATATTACTAACATACACATTTATAGAAATATAAATTTATAAATGTGTCAAAGGGACTAACTTTCAATCATTTTTGATCAATTCAAATTTTATTTTTATATTTCACTTGATTTTCACTTTGAGTTTGTTATTACTATAACACATCTAGTAATTCTCTAAATCTCTGTGGTTAGCAGAAAGGCTAAGGTAATTTTTTTCCTATTTACCAATTTTTCATTTTGTTAATGAGGCAAAAGATTTTATAAATAAGCCCAGGAATAGATGTTTTTGATGGATAGATGATGTGTCTAATGATCTACTTTGGGTGTCCCTACCTAAAGATCAGAAATAGCTGGTGGATCAAATACCAGGAAGCCCTGTCTTTCCAAGAGTTGAAGTGCCACAAAAGAAGTATTGAATAAGTTGGCAGATAGCTTAATAAGTTCACTAAGAGTTTTATCTTGACCAGTCAAGATAGTCAGAATAATCTTAATTACTGAACACGAAGATTTCTCATGATTTTGTTTAAAAAAAGAATCTAAGTAGTGAAGATATCAGGTGATATTTGCAGCTGATGTGAATTAGTCACTGAAAGAACTGAATATGAAATTGCTGGGAAATGGATTTCAACGTGTAACATGGAATAAAGGAAGATCATTCAAAACAAACTTAGATCTTTTTGTAAGACAAGAAGGTGAACGAAGTCTTTTTTTTTTCCCATTTGGAATAAAAAACTGCTGAATCAGATTGGATGTGACTAAGTGCTTGTGCCAGGCACTCCGATACGCTAATCCATAAGTATCTGAACTGCAAATATGAGGTCGAAAAAAGAAAAAGATTATAATCTATACTGAGAGTCAGGCAGCAACAGGTGCTCTAAATAATTATTATGTATACTCAAAGTTTGTTAAAGAATGTAGCATAGCACTTAATAATTTGACTGAGCTTAACAGTGTAGCAATAGAGTGGGTGCCTGGTCACTTGGGCATTCTAGGCCAAGAAGAAGCAGACAAACTAGCCAGGTTAGGCTCACATACTATTCCCATAACTCCTGAATCTGTCTGTGGAATCAGTCTTAGTACTGCCTAAATGAGGATTAGGGAGATATATGGTAACAAATTTAAACAACAGTGGACTAAGAAGAAACAATAACATTCGAAGCTGTTGTTTAAAGGTCCTGAGTTTGGGCAGAGCAGTTCTTAAAAAGCTTTCAGCGATCTGCACTGGTCACTGTAAGTTAAATTATCGCATGTTCAATTTCCGAGCGATGACGAACCCGCTATGCAGATTCTGTCATGAGGAGAATGAAACAGCCTGTCACATCATTTGTCGGTATGACAGATTTGCAAGGCTTAGACTGGAGCTATTTGGGGAAGAACGGATAGATTTTCCCAGTAGCTATGAGACTGTCAGCCTATTAAGATACACAGAAGCAACCAAACTAACTTTTTAAGATTAAACGGACTGCATAATGGCGTACAATAGATAATAGTCGCGGTGCATTAATGCAAAAAAAAAAAAAAAGAAAAAAATTATTTGGAAATCTGAAATTCCTTGAAAGTGTTTCTGCTAGGATATGAAGAAATTTATTAGGAAAACCAACTCTATATTTATACCCACAGAGACAGAGATATGAGCAAAGTTTTTCTTGCTTAAAGGGTCAAAAAGAGTAAACATAGATACTCTTTGGTGGACAACTTGCAGGCTATGACGATACTCTCATGTTCATGATTCAAACAAATTGTTGAAAAATGTGATAGGATGTGTTTCAAATTATCATATTAAACTGATTCTGAAATAAAACATTGCAGCTAAGGAAAGATATAAAATTAGTACTATAAACAAAGTGAATAAAGCTACTACTATTTTATTTAATTTATAGTTACTAGTTGGCCCATGGGAATAATTCATATAGAATATTAGTCAATATAAAACTGCCAATATAATATAAATATATCTTGATGATATAAATAATAAGATTGGAAAAGTAATTTTATTTTTCTCAGTCGAGTTAGATTAGTTCATTCAAAATAACAATCCAAAACAAGTGTATGATTATAGGCTGTATTTGTTAATAATGATCTGATTTTCATGATTTTTTTTGTTTTTGGAAATTCAGTATACTTTCAAATAATCATGGGTCTAATAAAAAAAATATATATAATTTTTGAGTTATTCTCAAATAAAGTTTCTTTTCCTTGATACATTTTTTTTCCCAGATATATATAAAACAATAATTATTTGTAGTAATGATCCTTTTCCGGCTATCAGGAGCGAGGAAATTTGATGAATGAGGTATCAAACGAAAGGGTATTATTATGATTCGTCACTGCTCCATGTAATACCCCTTCATTTGATACCTCATTCATCAAATTTCCTCGCTCCTGATAGCCGGAAAAGGATCATTACTACAAGTAACTATTGTTTTATATATAAACATTAATTATTATGGTATGACTTATGCCTTTTATGAAGTGCCAAGTTAACTAATGAATATTGTAAAGGTTTTAAGGAGCTGTCATCTGCTAACTTCTACTTTCTCAAATTGGCTACAGAACCAAACCTTTACCTGCCCCTGGTTTAACTTGTTTTTGTTTCTGTTAATAGAAAATATATGGTTAATTGGTTCCCAAAAAAGTGATTGACCCAAATATTCTTTGCCTCTATTAAAATTTGCAAATAATTTAGTTAGTAAGTAATGTCAATTATATCTTTTAAGAACATAATTTCTTCCAGGCAGCTTAGAATATTTTTTTTTAATTTTTATTATTATTAGCTTAGATGATTTAATATTTATTGTTCCTTTATTGAAGGTAATGAAGAAAAGAATGTGAATTTTTTTTGTTTTGATTAATCCATTGATAAATGTAACTATTATATGGTTATTTTTTGTTTTTAGTTTATATATGAATTAGTCGAGACAGCGAAATACAGCAGCAGAGAAAAAGTAGAAATGTTGGTTTCCCTTCTTCAGAGATCGTTACCAATGGTAGTTGGAAGCGATGATGCTCACATCAATAGGCATATTGCAGCTGCAGCAGCAAGATTCAGGTAATACAAATTTTTTGTTGTGGCAAAGTGGTAAATATTAATTGTATAGAATATTCTAACCATTTTTTGTTAACAATTTAGGTTGCTCAGTTGTGCACTGTCAGTCTTACAAAGCGACATCTTGCCAAGATCACTAAGTAAAAATGTCCTTAGAGAACGGGTCTATTCTACATGCCTTGACTATTTCTGTACAGGCTTCAAGTGCCCAACCCAATCAAGAGCACAACTAGCAGAAGATATCAATGCTCTAATTAAATTCTGGCAAACAATGCATTCTGATAAGAAGTATTTAATGGCTTCAGTGATTGGAGGTTTGTGTGGATATTTTTTTTTTAAACTAAATGGAAAATAAAATAATGGCTCTGCTACATTTAGGATGTAGATCCATTTTTGGTTGGTTTCTAGTTAAACCAGATTCCCAATAATGAAAAAAATCACTCTTCTAAATGATGCAGAAAGTTATTAGCTTTGGACATTAGTTCCAACATTTTTTATTATATAGCAGCACCTCCACTTCATTTAGTGGTGAAGAAGGAGTTAGCTTCTGGACAAGAAGAGGCTACTCATGTTGAGGGAAAAACAATGCCTTAAAAGTTTTGGGAAATAAAGCACTATAATATAATTCTAGATCATAGAATTTTGTTCCAAAGAAGAATGAGTTGACTAGAGACTAGTTGACTTGCATGTAAGGCACCAAATAAATATAATATGATAATGTAAATTGATAGTTTCTAATATCTGAAGTGGCAATTTAAAGTTGTTAGAGCTGATAATGAACGATTTTTTGAAAGTATGATCAGCACTAAACTACTGGGTAAATGTCTCAGAGGTCAGCCAAAACATAGCTGGAAGGATTAAATTAGGTTTCACCTTGAACATTGGGGTTTTGATGATGTTGATGGTTCACTTAAGAGAGCTATTTAATCGAAGATTAGTTACGTGAATCTTGGGTTTGTTAGATCTCATTTTAATTAGTAATTATAATTATAATACATTATTATAATTTCTTTGGCAAGAAGTAATTTTTTTTCTTAATTTGTAAGTTAAATTTTTTTTTTTCAAATTCTAAATATTTTCATTTCCAAATTTACAGATTGGGATGTTGGAAGCAATGAAACAGGAGGTGGTTCGGTTGTTGGAAGCTTATCCGTCACATCTGATCTTCCGAGACCTAACTCTGCCTCTGGTTGGATTAACACAGTCCCATTGTCTGCTTCCACTAATACTTTAACAAAAAGAACCGGTAGGGCAAAGCGGCAGCCGAACCAGGGCGATCTGTTCGTCAAAGATTATATCAAGAAGAGGAATCTTATACTCGATCTTCTTGTGAGTTATAGTTTTAGAGTATGATAACAAATTGGAAGTTTTCTAATTCAAGCTAGATTTTTTTATCAATGTATTGCTCATATGCATATAAACTGTATAAAATTTATGTTATTTGAGTATTTTAAGTTTTACTGATAGCTGTAATCAATTAAAAAATTATGGATGATTGTCTCTTGTCAGTTTGTTTTCTTTAATAATTTGAATAATTATAATAAAAATTCTATTTAATTAGGCAGTTGAAATAGAACTACTTATCACATGGTACAACCCGATGGGTCGATCTGAACTACATTTCCCTGGTGAGGAGATGATTTCTAACTGGAAATCTAAACCAGTTAACGAGAAGGCCCTGCGAGATATCACACGTCTGGCTTGGGAACTAAGTCCTGTATTAGCAGTATATCTTCCGACAAGGTTTATATGAATGGTTTCATATTTTTTACAATGATGATATCAGTTTAATAGATATATAATTAAAAGTTTGATTCATTAAATGATTAGAAGAAAATATATCCTTGAATAAATTATTCAGATTGAAGTCATCAGACAGTATGGTGAAAGAAGTGTGCAGGCTAGTACGATCCAATCCCACATCAGTTATTCATATACCCCATGCTTTGCAGTATCTTGTGACTACTGAAAACATACTCAACGAAGCACCTGAGGTAAAGCTTTTATACTAACCTTCTATTTATCTGCTTGTAATACATTATAACTTTATTATTTTTAACTATACCCTTATTTTCATTACCGCTTTTATTATCATCTAATGTATTTTGTTCTATTTATTTCCTGCAGTTAGTTCACTGTTTGAGCTGGTCCAGAGTCAGTCCCGTACAGGCACTCTCTTACTTCTCTAGGCAATTCCCTCCTCATCCGATCACTGCTCAATATGCTGTCCGTGTCCTAAAGAGCTTCCCAGCCGATGCCGTTCTCTTCTACATTCCACAACTTGTGCAGAGTCTCAGGCATGACAAGGTATTGTATTTTTGTTATTACTGTTTTATTTTTTGAATGGAAATAAATTTCATAGAAAAAACAGCAAATTTTTTTTAATTTACTTGCAATTTAATATCATCATATAATTCGAATCAGATGGGTTATGTCATGGAATTTATCAAATATATCGCCAAAAAATCTCAAGTTGTTGCACACCAGCTGATTTGGAACATGAAGACTAATATGTTTATTGATGAAGATATGCACACTAAAGACTGTAAGTTCTTATTTTTGATAACATCATTATTTTTAATTAATATTCTCATTTTTATCTTAATTAACAATCATATCAGTTGTTTAAGTGATTATTTTTAATTTTGTTTAAGCACTGTATGAAACTTTAGAATCTCTTACAAATAGTATTGTCAGCTCTCTGTCTGGGCCTGCTAAACAGTTTTATGAAAGGGAATTCAATTTCTTCGACCAAATCACTAGTATTTCTGGACAGATTCGACCATTTCCTAAAGGTTAATATAATAAATATCTTTTTATTTTCCTTTTTTGGTTTTATTATTTGATTCTTTAATGTACTTTTAATTTATTGTTGGTTTATACACCATTATATAATTCAACTATGGGAAAAAATAGTGGGTGATCTACATTTTTTTCATTTTACATTATTTGTGCCATTTTTTAAAAATAAAAATCAATTCTTCCAGTTAGTTCCAGTTTCTAAAATTTTTAATATTATTGTATCATATAATTGAGATTCTGAATAGAATGAAATTGTCGTTGGTGAATTTATATAAATGAGCTTCTCTCTTTGCTTATTAAATGTCTCATCAGACTAGACAGTTGGAGAGCCTAGGTCCTCCATGCCCAGGCATAAATTGGTCTGACAGAAATAATCAAGTAATGGTAAAAATAAAAGATAAATTATAAACCTATACTAGCCATATGTAAAGGGTATTTGCTATTTTTGAGGCCTCTGGCTCTACGAAGTTTTTCTAAGAACACTTCTGATGAGATTATTGAGATTATACTCTGGAATATTTTTCTTTTTTAATAATTGGATCTTTAGGTGAAATACAATTATTGTAATGATAGTTTTTGTAGTCCTTTTAATATCGATTAATTTTTATTATAATTTAATATGTTATCCAATAACTTTATATTTGTTTGTTTCCGAATAGGAGTGGAAAGAAAAAATGCATGTTTAGAAGCTCTTAGCAAGGTGAAGGTTCAACCTGGGTGCTATTTGCCTTCCAATCCCGAGGCTATGGTTTTGGATATTGACTATAAGAGTGGAGCTCCTATGCAGAGGTATTGTATTTTATTGTCGTATGTAATTTTTCCTCAAGATTTTTATTTTGAATCTCAATTCTATCACATACTAATAAATAAAGTTTCTGTTGCTTTGATCAATTTGCTATAAAATAATTTTACTTCCTGCAAATTCGGTGCTGCTAACTTTTGACTGGCGACGATGTGTCTTTTAAAACTTAAGTACAATAACCTCTGAGAGACTTAGCATATCCTTTTATTATAGCCGATTATCACTATAACAATCATACTACATATATTATGTAAATGTGAAATAAGAATTTTGTAAAATCAACTATTGCTACCATACACTATTAAGTTATTTTATGCTTTAGATTAACAGTCATCAGACGTTGTCATAAGTTTTTTTTTTTAAATATAGGACTAAATCTTTGATTTCTACCTTACCATAGCAGAAATGTCCTGATGGAATCTTTCCCCATTTTCATCACTAACAGCTCCACAACTAGGAGGGAAAGGTCTAGGTGGGAGAGGAAGAAATGGATTTTAAGGGACATGTTGCATCCAAGGTTATGGTACTTTTGCAGAAGCACTGTCACCAAATATGTGTAGTTGCCACCTCTTTTGTTGCCTAAAAATCTATAAACAACTCCCTTGAAGGCTTCCCAAGCTTCCTTTTCTTTTCCTTCCAAAACTAGGTCAAATGCAGGATCCTTCACAGGTACTCAAATTTGTGGCCCAACAAAAGTCCTTCCTCAAGTTTTGCATTACTTAATTTCAGAAATTTCTCTATTATGTACTTAAAGGTCCTTATACCCTTCTTGGTTTATACATTTGACAAATTTTTTATGAAACCCAGCTTGATACTGGATATGGATATCCCTGGGGATGGAAGTAGAATATCTTTTGGGTCCATGAGAGGCTTGGCAACAACATTTTTCTCGCTTGGATTACGATTTCTTGAAGGCAGTATCCTTTAACATAATCCAATTTCCTATCTCTATTGTCCCACATACATAAGAAGCAGCAAAGTTTTGTGTACCGCAGTTGCATACCTAATAGTATGGCAATGACTTTTATATCACCACAGGTTTTCCATTTGTGTTCATGATATTTGAATGAGTCCAAGAGGGCTGTCATATTTGCATATGTCTCCTTCATGTAAAATACCTGACCAAGAGGAATACAAGAAAGAAGGTTGCCATCGTGAAGTAACACAGTTTTCAAACTAAGCTTGGAGAAGTCAATGAATAGCCTCTATTCAGTTGGGCCGTGGTTCAAATTCAAAGATTTCATCAAACCATTTATGTTGCAGCAAACAACAAGATTATTTTTCTTATCAAAAAAGGGAAGCAGTTCCCTGTTACATTTTATATACTGTGAGATTCTGACATCACTTTCGAGAAAATTTCATTGCTGTAATTGAGATTAAATATTTCTGCCTTCTCCTTTGACAAGCCAAGGTCTCTAATGAGATCACTTAATTCCACTTGACTCAGTTTGTGTGGTTTATCATCTTTTCCCTCAAAATCAGAGTCATGGGAGGTGGAAGGCATGTTTGGTTCTTCTTGTTTCACACTGTCTTCATTTTCTACTTGAAACACACAATTTTTAGGTGCAGTAGTAACGGTAAACTATCTGAATATTGAATGGGTCAAATAGCAGATCGAAGATTCGGGTACTGAACTGTTCTTTTTTTCATAGACAATCCTGTCTTTGTAGGTGAAGTCAAGCAGAAATAGCAGTCATCTATATGGTTGGTAGGCACCCGCCAAACCATAGGCACAGCGAAAGCCTTAGATCGTTTCTTCTTTCTCATCCATTCTCGCAGTGTAACTGAACATGCATTGCACCATATATGTGGAGCCCAAGACTTATCCTGGTACCCTACTTTCATACCGAAATAATGCTGATAGGAAGTCTTTACAAGGCGTCTTTACTTAGGCTTCAGGTTGCATTTCTGTGAAGAAAATGTTATTTCACCATAAATATAACAAAAACTATTCACCATAATTTTATGCTAAAAAAGCACTCTCAAATCAGAAATTCTGTACTAATTACAGCAGAAACTATATGAAACTCACAGTCACAGAAACAGCAACTATGTTTATGCCTTACAAAAATCTGAAGAACATTTGTGTTTTGTTATTTTACAGGTATACCAACTCCCCAAAAAAAAATATCCCAAATTGAAAATGTTGATTCTAAAGAATAAAATGTTACTTTATCTCCAAAGCAAGAGCTAATCTGTCATTTTTATGATGATTTTTTAATTCAGCAGATAGAAATACATATGAATTTTGACTATTTTTGAGACCAAAACATTTTCATTGTTGCCCAGTGTAAGTTACTATCAAAATTGTTCATTAAAAAATAAATAAAAATTGAAAATGGATTTAGGAATTCTTACTCTTATATGTATTATTTTTATAATTATAATCTTGACTGCTTTTAAACATTCTCATTTTGATATACATATAGGAACCAATTTTTTTTATTTATCGGAAATGTCAAATGGTATTATTTTACTGCCACTTCTTCGAAATAAAATAAGTAAAACTACTCAATAATTTATATGTTTTAATCATTCTGACCCATCCCTGAAAAACATATCTGGAATCTTTTATTTATAGACTATATATACTGTTTGTTTCATTAGATATTTCTATCATTTGTATAGTTATTTCTATTTTTTTATCAAAAAAATTGTTTATTCCCTTAGTGCGGCTAAAGCTCCTTACTTGGCAAGATTCAAAGTTAAGAAATGTGGTATCAAAGAGCTAGAGGCGATGGCATTGGCAGTTTCAGCTGGACATCAACTCGAAGAGAAGCCTACATCTATGAATACTGAACTTTGGCAAGCTGCAATATTCAAGGTTATTTTTTTTTTAATTATTAAATATTTATAATTGTTTTCAATTATTTCTGTATCAATACTATGGTGAAATAGGTTTGTATATGTAAAACTCTTAATAAGCTGCTAATTCATTTTATTTACTTTAACCATAATTTCATATGGAAAAAATATTTATTATGTTATTCCTGTTATTATAATGTGTAGTTTTTTGGAAAATGTTTATTTAAAAATTAATTGCTAGAAGTTCAATCTCTTGCATATTTCTTTTCTTATTTGACAGTATAGTGTGATAGAATGTGCATCTTGTGCTAAAATAATTTATTCTGAAACTTAATTTTTGAAAAAATATATATCAATAAAAACCTGTATCTATTAATTCTTGAGCAAAGTTATACAAATATGTGATAATTACATTCAGTCTATAGGTTTTCCCTCCTACCCAAAAGAGACAAATATGTAGGGCCTCTGGAAGTCTTCGTGGTCGTCATTTTCAGAAACAGAATAGTTTACTATGGCTTACTCACTGGATTACTCTAGTCCAAGTTATTATATAAAATCATATTGAATTTTTTATTCATATTGCCCAATGCCGCCTATTATGCAATTTTCATATTTCACTAACTTTGTTATTCAGATTTAATTTCTTATTATTTTCATTCTTGTTTTATATGTAATTTCTGACTTCTTGAAATAGGATAAAGCTTTGTAATATCCATTATAAATCTGAAGTTATGGCAGTCTCTTTATTCTTTTAAATATTTTTATTGTATAGTTTTAATACAAACACCTCAATTTTATAATATTTAATACTTTTTTATCTATTTAATAGGTTGGTGATGATGTTAGACAGGATATGCTTGCTCTTCAAGTTATCGGCATATTCAAAAATGTTTTTCAGCAAGTTGGTCTCGAGCTATATCTCTTTCCTTATAGAGTCGTAGCTACTGCTCCTGGGGTATGTTTTGTTTCTATTCTGATAATAGTTTATGGTTCATGTTTTTTAAATATTAATTGTGATATGATGGAGTGGTAAGTAATCTGATGATTTGAAAGATGTTCGATTGAGCTATTGAATCTTGCTTGGAACGTAATAGTAAATTGAAATTTAATTTAAAAATTTTGACTAAATCTAAAATATTAAAGGAAATATACATGATTTTTACTGGAATCAATCAAATGTAGAACAATTACGTTGGTTCCCATTTTAACGTCATCCCTAAAATAGTACCCTGTTTGCTAAAATGTCAAATAGAGTTTTACCCGAGTTGCTTGAAAACTATGGTAGGTTGCATTGTTTCTATTTCATGCAAGATGGTTCATCTCGTCTATAGCAGCAAATAGAAACATATGATTTTGATTAAAATAATCATTTATCTCTTTGAAATAGACTTGAAATGTTTTATTCTTATTTTAAAAAAATGCAGATATAATTAAACAACTTTCATGGTTTCGGTCATTTAATTAATTAAGTCAATGTGTAATAATCAAAATATATAGAAACTGGGTTATTTTAATTAGATTGAGAATTCATTACATCAATTTTGCATCGTTTGTAACACTTTTAAAAAATATATTATAAGAAGATCTCTTATGGAAAAACATATGAAAACAAAATATTGAAATTTTTCTCACTTGCCCAAGGAAAGTAATTTGCACATTTTCCGAGATCATGATTAAAATATTTATTATTCCTTCATTCCATTTCTTTTTGATGATAGGAATAAACTATATACTTGATATTTTAAAATAATACAAATAATTTAAACTATTATAAATTAATTGTCCTACATCTATAAAATTTGACCTAATATTGAACTGATTCGTGTCATTCAGTGTATTTTGGCTATCTTTTGGCAACAATAAAAATTAGTCGGTCAATTTACATCTTTGCTATCAAAGGGTTTCATGACTGTAAATTATTGGGTTGATGTTCTAGACAAGTATAAATACCCAGAATGATGAAAAAGGTCCTCTATCTATGTGTTATATTATAAATCAGTAGTTCCCAAATCTTTTTTGTCACAGTATCCTTATTGGGTTAAAAAAAAATTGTGACACTCTCGTTGGACTAAAAAAAAAATATGTGGCACCCTTATCATTACATAAATAATTTAAATATGCAGTCATAGAAGAAAATGGACAGTGACAAAATCACTCAAATTTAAAAGATTAAGAGGATGGTGAAAAAAATATCAATTAATTGTTTTAAAGTAATAAGTTATGATGCCTACAATTTTTATGTTTACCGAAATGCAAAAATGCATTTTTTTACTTAAAGTAATGGTATAAGTGAAAGTTGTATGATGTGTAGTTTTTTTAGAAATATTTATTTAAAAATAAATTGCTTGTTCAATCTCTTACATGTTTTTTTTTCTTATTTGATAGTGTGGTGTGATAGAATGTGTACCCAATGCTAAATCAAGAGACCAACTGGGGCGTCAGACTGATATTGGGATGTATGAGTATTTTACAAAAACTTATGGCGATGAAAATACTCAAGAGTTTCAGGTAAATCACTTATTGCTTTTTCATAAAAAAATGAAAAATATGTTCAGATGTGTATGCTTATTATTTTTATGAAAATTATTACAAAAAACCTGTTTGTTTTTTTTACAATCTTTAAAAAAATGTACTTGCTTATATTAATTTTTTTTTTTTACCTTTTAAATATATTAAACGTTACTTAAATATTTTAACCATTTTAATAAGTTTTAATCTATCTAAAAATTCCTTCTTTATAATGCATAAATGCATATATATATTTTTTTTTTTCTTTCGGTTGGCGCTACAGACCATATATATCTATCTACTTGACGCTAAAACCCTGGGTGGGTGTTGGCCTCCTCAATGAGCCGCCTCCATTCGGCCCGATTTTGTGCTGCCACTTCCCAGCTTCTGATCCGTAGCAGGCTCTGTGCATCTTGGCCTACCAGGCCGTTGCGTACCATGAAGGGCGGTGTCCACTACTTTTCTAGGAATTTCTTCCACTTTCATCCTTGCGACATGACCAGCCCAACTGAGCCTCCCCAGTTTTATAAACTTTACAACTTCCATATTTCCGTAAAGGTCATAAAGCTCCCCGTTCCTCCTAATCCTCCATCTATCTCCATCTCTCACTGGGCCAACTATTCGACATAAGATTTTTCTTTCGAAAATCAAAAGATTATTATCGTCACTTCTTGAGATGGTCCAGGATTGGGAAGCATAGGTAAGAACTGGGCGAATAAGAGTCTTGTATATGACCAGTTTAGTGCCCCTGGTAATGGATCTGCTGTAGAGAGTTTTCAGTAAGGCAAAGTATGCCCTATTTGCTGCCACCAGCCTTTTCCTTATCTCAACAGAGACATCGTTTATTGGAGTTACTACAGACCCCAAATACGTAAACTCGTTCACCCTTTGGAATGTGTAAGTGCCAACACTCAGTTGCTCATCGCCACCAGTCCCTGTGTGCATATATTTCTTTTTTTCCTTTTTTATGGCCAATCCCATGGCTGAAACAGCATCCATGAGTTTCCTAAAGACTATTACCAATGCCGTTCGTGTCCTGGCCATGATATCCAGATCGTCAGCTTATCCCAATATCTGTACAGTACGGGTGAGTATCGTGTGGTCTGTCTGGATTCCTAAATCTCGCACAGCTTTCTCGAGTGCAAGATTGAATAAGAGACACACCAGTCCATCACCCTGTTTTAATCCTTTGTTGAAGGGAAATGCTTCAGAGCAGTCAAACTTAATCCGTACCTGACACCTTACATCTCATATATATATATATATTTTTTTTTTAAATATAAAATATATATTTTCAGTACAATTATATTTTATCAACAAGTCATATATAAGTATTATCAAGGATCATGTATAATGTTAAGAAAAATGGGAAAGTGGTTTATTTTAATTTATTTATTTTCATATTTTATTGTTTTAGGCTGCTAGAAAGAATTTTGTCTGCTCTATGGCTGCTTATAGTGTTGTAGGTTTCTTGCTCCAAATCAAAGACAGGCATAATGGAAACATTATGCTCGACACACAGGGCCACATAATACATATTGGTTTGTACCTATACTCAATTAAACTTTTTGTGATTTAAAAAAAATATAATAAATAAAAAAGAAATTTAAAAGAACTATGTTCAAGATAAAATGAAGACCATGGTGGAAAAACAGATGATGTCCAAAAAGTAAATAAGAGAAAAAAACAAATTTTGAAGTTGACATAAGTTTTTTTTTTAATTTTAGCTTTTACGTATCACAGCCTCATTGATGTTTATTATCAATACGATGTTAAAACAGGTCAATAGCCTTTGCGAACTTGCTTGTGCTATTACGGATTCGCAGAGGTTAACATTCATAATGCAGTCACAGCCAAAATGGAAGTAGTGCAATTTAGTTAAAACATCACATCTGCAAATTAGGTGATTTCTTCTGCAAATTGGTGGTTTCATTATCTATATTGCAGAATCTACTGATTGGTGACTCAGTTAACCTCATGTAGAAGAGGTTTGTTCAGCCAACAGTGGTCATTATAGAGTCCTGCCATGCTCTTTTCCATGAGTATATATAAATATTGTATATCTCTTTGGAAAGGATCTTTTTGAGACAGCTTGGAATGTATCTGTTTCCTAGTGATTTCCCAGTGAAGCTTAGTCCTGTTACCTACTGCTACCTTAATTTATCTTTTTGCATAATAAAGATAACCACAGATGACCTCTAGTCCCACGGGTACCAGTTCTGAGCCCTTCCTAACTAGGCCACCCGCCCTCCTCTTTCCTAAAATGCCTGAGTTTTCAAACACTCACTCAACTCTCACCTTGTTGGTTCCAGAGATAATGTTTAAGTTGCTTTTGTATTTATTGGCCTACTCAGACTAGGTTGCATAATCAAATAGAGCCTCAGTAACCTCTTGTGTATCCATAAATATCAAAATTTACATCTTCCAAACTCTTTCTTCTATAGGAGTTTGATCACTGAAATTAAATGATTTTAGCTAAGCCTGAGTGACTGAGGTATGATGCCATGTATAGGATTTTAAATGGACAATCCTTACAAGCATAAAAGCACGGTTTGCATGTAAAATACTACATTGTTTGAAACATGCAGTTGACAAACAATCTTCTCTCAGTGATACTGAGCAAAATTGAAATAATAATAAAGTATGTTCTCTTCAATATGACTTAGCCATTTTGATTTGCAATTGAGACTAATCCATAGGTGTTTACTTCATTACAGTTATAAACTAAACTCTACTGAAGCATTGACAATATACTTTCCCATGGTAGACTCCAACATGGACATAGTCTTATATTTCTCGTTTTAGTTATTTTATGAACTAATTTTTACTTGTGAACCATTCTTTTTTTTTAAATGAAATGAAAAATCTATCTTAATTCGGAGACATTTAGTTCCTTAAGAATAGCACATTTCAAACAGTATTTTTCTGGATGCATTAATTATAGCTTAATTAAATTATGAACTAAAAGATAATTAATGGATAAAATTAAAACCTAAAATATAGACACACATATTACCTAATAATTCAATTTTGAAAAATGTGACAGCCTGTTTTTCTGCATGGTCATTGGATATTAAAACTGTTTAAAAGAAATGATTTTAATTATTTATTAAAAATATTATCACAAACATGATAGGTTCTCTACTTGATATTAATTAATAAGTTTTTCTCATTGAATCTAATCCTTAGAAATATTTAGTTATGTTCTGGAAAAAGTTATGAAATAAATTGTAAAAAAAAAAAAAAATGTTACTTTAATTAATTTTTTAATTTTTATTTTTTTCAGACTTTGGTTTCATGTTTGAATCTTCCCCTGGTGGCAATTTAGGGTTTGAACCAGACATTAAACTGACTGATGAAATGGTGATGGTGATGGGTGGAAAAATAGAGGCTGCTCCATTTAGGTGGTTTACAGAACTGTGTGTGCAGGCATACTTGGCAGTGAGGTATATCAATTGGTTCATATTACATCAGTGATAATGTTGAAATTAATAATTGCTTTAAATTGTTTTATTTTTATTTCCACAGACCCTATCAAGAAGCTATTATATCACTAGTATCTCTTATGCTAGACACGGGTCTGCCATGTTTCCGAGGACAGACAATTAAACTACTAAGGGCCAGGTTCGCTCCCAATGCCAGTGATAAAGAAGCCGCTGCTTATATGATATCAATAATACGTAATTCCTTCTTAAACTTTAGGACTAGGACTTATGACATGATACAGTATTATCAGAACCAGATTCCTTACTAATAAACATTACATTACATTACCATGCATCATTACAATTACCTCTTGCCTATCATTGTTTTGGAAAAGAATCCCATGGGTTACTTTCCAAACTGATTCAAACCAAAGACTTACGATTATGTTCAAAAGAAAGTACTTATTTTCTGAGTAGTTGTATAAATATATTGACAATTTTATATTTTTAAATTTTTGTGTAGGTTATTTAGGAAACCATGACCATTACCTAGACTATGATTCCCATTTTTAATATTAAAAAGTTGAGGTCTGTATATTGTTAGGAAAACCCTTTTCGGTTCCTAGGTGATTGTTACCAGAAAATAGTTTAGTTTAAAGGGATAGTGTTATTTTTTATAATTTAGTCAGTATTTCAACCTAATTGCATTTAGTAAATATTACTGATCTATATAGTATTATAGTTTTTTCTGTGATACTTCCTTGTATTTTGTGTATAAATGGAAAATAGTTTGTTATTTTTGTAACCTTTTATGTTTGTTAGAAAACTTATGAAGTATTCATATGCGATTTCATTAATCTTGTGTCTTTAAAAACAATGTTAAATAAATAATTTAAATTATCTTATATTATATATACATAATGTTGGTAATATTAATATAATCTGTTATATATTAATAAATTATTAAAGAATCAATGTTCTTTAGCTGTTATCTTTCTCCCTCCTCTCCCTCATACTTCTATTTGTCATGATTAACAAGGATTATTATTTTTAAAACAGTATAAACAAAATTTTACATTTCAATATATTAAAAAAACTATATGGGTAATAAGTGCTATTAGTCACTAAAAAATATTTTTTTGAACAAGGATCTAACAAGAGACCAGAAGGAACAAGTGTACAAGATAATTTTTAGGTCTGTATTCTTATACAGAAATGAAACGTCGACACTACCTGTAAAAAATGAGCAATTGCTGAACATGTGAGAAAGACAGATTCTTAACAGGATATATGGCCTGATATAAGAAGACTAGTGGAGGGTGCGAACGAATCAGGAGTTGATGGACTTATATGATTCACCTGATGTTATCTACCATTAAGAAAGGTAGGTTAAGATAAAATGGTTGGATCATGTGCGCATAATGAAAGAAAGAACAATCTTCAAGATGATTATCACAGGACATCCAGGAAGAAACAGACAGAAAGGAAGGCTGGGTCACTTTTTTTTTATTTTTTAATTCCATCTTCTCTAACAGCTGCCAGATATAAAAATAACAGACAATATTACTTACCAGATCCAATACAACTTGATCATTTCATTCTATCTCATCATGCACTTGTGGACATTTCATTGCTCAAAAATATTTGTAATTTTAAGGTTCTATAATTGAAGCACATGATAATCTCCCTAAATGAATTTATTTTTATCTATAAACTTCAATAAAGTTGATATTTTTCCTTCTGGTTTATTTGTTTGTTCCTAATGGCTTTTGTAATACTAAGATGGTATTTTTTTTTTTGTCGTGCATCATCTATTCATATTAAGCCTTGCCTTCTTTTTGTCCATGCCACTATCCAAACTGATTAATTTTTTTTCTCTTGATTGCACTCTACTTTTTTAATCTAGCTGTATTTCTCTTTTCTGTTGTTTATAATATTGTCTACTAAATTGATCAGTATGCAGTATCAATTAACAATTCAACACAGTTGAGTAGCTCTAGCAATTTTGTCAAGATTAACATATCCGGTGTTATATCCAGAAATTCTTTACCATACCAGGCTCCTTATATAAATTAGCCAGCGATTATGCTTTATTCTCCATTTGTTTTCTTCCTTGATTGGGTCATTTATCTTTTGGGAGTTCCTTTTGTCTGAAAACTAAAAGTTTTCTCTCACTGGCCTTCATCTTGTGAATAATTATTCATTATATAAAATTTTATCCAGAAATTTGTTAAATAAATTTTTCACACAACTAAATATTTGAACTGGAAATTTGATGTATTATTTACATGATTTAATCCCTTTTAATTTTTCATATAAGTAGTATATTCACACTACATCTGACTTGATAAGAAAATTGCTTAATGAAATGATGCAAAATATTTGTAATTTCTTTCTACAACCTGGCTGGCTTAACATTTTTCTTTATTACATATTTTAGAAGAAACACTATATATCAGGCTTAAACATAATAGAACTAATTCCTAAACACACTAATTATTATTTAAAAAAAAAATCAATAAAATTAGCACAGAAGTTATAGAAACATATGAGTAGTCAAAATTAAATATTTTTTTCTAAAATATGTTCCCTGAATCTGATTAATTTAAAAAAGTTATTTCAGTTAATAATTACTAAGGATTTCTCAAAACATTGATAATCCTAAAGCTAGATTCCCAGAATTTTATGACAGTAAACTAAGATTGAGTTGCTTGATGATTTACTAAGTCTCTCATTAACATTATCTACAAACAAAAACATATTGTACAAATCTTTCAATATAATTAAAGCTATAAGAAAATTGTTTTTTTCTTTACTATTCCCCTACCTCGCCTTTTCGGCTATGCAGGATTTTTCCCAGATCAGGAAACTAATGCTAGAGGGAAATGCACCGGGACTCGAACTTTAATTTTCGGATTATCAGGTTGACAGGGAACATGTGAGGTTTAAATACGGTAACCCACTCAGTCACTTTTATCAGTTACTTATTTTTATTAAAAATTTCTTCAAAGATACGAGAGATCAATCAGTGGTGTATGCCATTGGTTCTACCTTAAGGTTGAAAACATTATGATTACCACAGAAACTAACTAATAATATTAGTGAATTCTTCAAAAATATACAGTTTAAATTAATTAAGAAAATGAAAAATAATAAAAACAACAAAATATTTAAATTATTTTAAGATTTATTTAAAGCAAAACTTCTTAATAATAAACAACCTCATAGGAAGAAGCACAAATAAATAAATTATTCGATCAATTTATTAAAACAGAGCTTTAAAATTTCTTAAAATGTGACTAGAAAGCAAAAGAAAAATATATACATAAATATCTCTAATGTACAAAAATAACAGTCAAATTTTTTTAATAATTTCATCTTTATATAAGTGTTAACATTTAAATAAAAAAATAATTATACAAACAAATAGAAAAATGGAATAATACATCGATACTTAAATCACCAGACCAGTCTGATCGACATAGATATAATAAATAAATTTATATATTTCTCAATATTTACATTATTTATAATTCGATTTATTTTTAAGTATTTACATCCATTAAAACATAAATTAAAAAGAAAAATGTCTAGATAATATTCGGCCTATTTGTATTGCACAATTTTCAACGCGACTTCGACAGAGCTATCACAGTTGAGAATCCAACTTTCTATATCTTTAAGTATCTTCATGCTGTCGGTATGCACTTTGGCCGTCTTCCTTTGGTACTTGACCCTGTTAATCATCTTGTCAACAAGGTAATGGAGCCATCGCACATTTGTCTTTGGGACAAAGCATTGCCAATTGTTTTTCACATCGTCTTTCATGTGCCTGTAGACATCAAATTGGTAGTCTCCAGTTCCGATAAACATGTCAGGGTCCTGGCCGATATCACAATAGACTGGGATGTCAGAGCAGGGGAATGTCATTCTTGACAAGGTGAAGTCAATAATAGTAGCCTGTGTAAAAAAAACAAATTAATAATTAAACAGACTTCACAACTATGCAAAGATATCATAGGTTTATTGTAAAAAGTCATTAACTACATTTTTGATGGAGTTATACTTTGAAGTAAGTTTCTGTGAATTTTGACCTTATTTATGGATGAATAATCACAGTAGGTGCATCAAAATAACACAAACCCTTTTATTATAAATAAAAAATAGTTACTCTACGTACACAATGTTCTCATTTCACAGAAAGAAGATTCATCAAAATACTAGTGATTTTAGATGAGGAAAAAAACACAATACATAGTAACAGGGGAGATCCTAAGACAGGAGGGTGTCCAGGTAAATTTCAGCTCCTTTAAGTTTGGACAGATTTTGGAATTTGCATATCTTGATTCATAGATAAAAATATATAACTGCATGGATGTAGAAATAATCAAGAAGATCCTGGTTATCAACAGGATATCGAAAGAACTAAAGAAAACAAGTAGTGATCTATCTAACATAGTAAAATAATTTTCTACAAAATGTTTCATTTGACCAATGTTTCCTAGGAGTTCCAAAACCTGGACAAGTTAGGCTGTGAAGCAGACAGAACCTCAAGATAATAGAACACAAGGTATTATGAAGAGTTTACAGTCGAATACTTATATATAAGGAAAGACTATGCCAAAAAATAATAAGTTTCATGAGCCCGATATTGAGGAGTTCTAAGAAGGTCAAATCAGGAGGGTAGGTCATGGCACCAGGATGATATGCTACGATTCCAAAGAAGCTCCTGTCTGAAATCAGACATGAAGGGTGGAATATATGGATCATCATGCAAACTAACTTGGAGAGAGAAATTGGTTGGTGACCATGTAAAGCAACTGGCGACTGCTGTTGGTGGAGACCATGACTAGCGAAAGAGTTGTAGCACCAAATTACATTAGCTTTGAACCTGAATGCAGTAGTATTTAGATGGATAACTGACTCTCCTTTTATGGAAAATATTTCTTCAGGAGCTCTGCCTTTGCACTTAAGACATTTTTACCAGTAATGTCTCAAAAGATTGCGTATCACGATTTTTTCTTCTAACATAGCACGTGCGTTTCAAAAATGGAAATGGCCCCATTGAATCAACTCGCGTCACAAAGAATTATAGGATTAGTCTAAGTGAACATTGACATAAATAGTAGAGACAAAATCATTCTTATAGGATTAATAATGAGAGTTGGAATTAAGGGTTGTGTTCAAGCACAAAAACTTTTGTAATAACCTAATGTATAGATAGATATTTTCTATTCAAATAAAAAAGCTTTTCAAAGAAACCAATGAATTCAGGAAATAGTACAAGAACTATTAGTCCACATTTTTTTAATATATTCGTAAATTTTCATACATTATTTTTCTAAAACTTATATAATGTTAATAAAAAATTATTCCATACCACAATTTATTGAAGTCAGTTCAGAAATTTAAAAAAAAAATTAACATATATTTATTAAAATCTTGCAGGTAATACATTTTTTGTGAATCTAAAAAATTTAATATTTTTCTCTATTATCAAGTATCCAACTTATTTCTAAACAACTGAACCTTAATCATTAAATTTCAATTTAAGGAATGCAAAATGTTGAGACCTTTCAAAACAAATAATTCAAAGGCATATATATTTTATTTCCTCTTACCTTTACACCATTGGTCAGAATTGTATATTTATCTCTGTTAAGAGTGAAAGGAATATCCCTTTCTGAAGTTCTCGAGACCAAAACATTACCCCAATGTAAATCCCTATGCTCAAATTCGTAATTGGCCTCAGCGACTGCTAGAGCACAAACAGTCTGTCAAATAAAAAAAATGTATTATTAGCAAATAAATTAATAACAATACTTAAATAGCATGTGCCTGATTTCTAACCATAAATTTACAATACTACTATTACAGTTCTAGATTAATAAACTACAGCATGTTATAAGAAACAATCCCAAAATAAAACTCAGATGCTCAGGAATGCTGAGAACTCTTCTAAACAATACTATTCCGCCTTTAGGATTCACTCATAATGTTAATCATTTCAGAAGATCCTTCTGCACTTTCGAGTACAATTTCGGGACACATTTGGTGTTACAAATAGATATGGAAAAAGATAATTTGACAAAATATATGCTATATTAAGTACATGTCAAATTAATTGAACCAGAAAGGAGCAGATGACTTCCAAGAAATAAAATAAAATAATAACAGTAATATAGTAACTGATCAACATAAAAGGAACATGAAATGAATTAAGGCAGCAATTTAAACAGAGCTAGGTGAAACATTGGACAGCTGCACTACGATTTTTTACATTAGTCAAGTTTTCAAGAACTTTTAAGCCAGTTACAGATAGTGGTCGAATGGACGTCAAAGACATTGTCATGGAAGATATTTGCACCAACTTTCATGAATTGAAATAGATAAATCTTCGTCAAAAGACTGGGTTGTTAGAGGAAGACTGAATACCCTTTGACAGAGATTCTCTTGTTGATTCTAATATCAGGTCTTACTGGCAATATATTTTGAAGCAACAGAATAAATCAGAAAGTTGTGAACTGACCAAAAATATTAGTGCTTCTAGGGGAACTGGTCCAGTAAGTTAATCTAGAAGTCTTTTTTGCCAATTCCTGATGGCAACCTAGAGCTTGGTGCACCGTATTATATTATAGAGGGATACAGATACACCGTATTATATTATAGAGGGAATTTCAAAATTTATTTCTTGGGACAATCGAGGAATAAATATTAACTGATCTAAATGGAAAACAAACTGTGCATTCTGGGATCCACACTCCAACTCGCTTGGTCATCATACTCTCCTTTTAGTACATAGCACAAACATATACAAAGCTTGGCTGAATTAAGAAATCTGTACTGATTGGATAAGGTATATATCAGAGCTATCTTTATCTTAGGGAATAACAATATCTCAAACTATTGTAAAACATTTAATGAATAGCTATGCTGTTGAATACTGCAAGAATCATCAGCAGTTTTCTAGATAAAGATAAATAATAAAAACTGGAGCTGAAGTAGTTTATGCTAGAGATCCTTCTCAAAGATAAAATCTTTTTCAAAAGAGATGGCAAAATAATAATTATATAATACATGAAAATAAAACAACATAATATTAATTTTCCTGAAAATTATTCATAACTCTAAGAAACTTAAGAACCATGAAATTAATTTTTTATAAGGGTTACTTTAATCCTGGATAGTTCTCATTACAATTTAACAAAATTTAGTCTAATCAAACAAACACAATGGTAACTTAAAAACCATCTTCTGAAAGCCAAGAATTAAAATTTACATTGATATAACATGAACTGAATTTGTCCATTAGATGGACAAATCTTGTAAGATAAGAACATCGATAAAGCTTGTACCAACCCTTGATATTGGTCAACCGCGTGGATTTAACCAATCAGGGGGTTCACTAATTGCTTTTTTAGAAAAGGTACATTAAAGATTTGACTAACAGAAATAACAAATTGACATTTCTTAAAAAAATATTATACAATATATAATATTTAATCTAATTTGGCAATTTAAAAAAATACTAAGTATGTATATATACTTATGTAAATTTAAAGTACATAATTTTTCTTTTTACTCTCAATATTTTGTAATCAATTAATTGTAGATACGAGTTAGCAAGATTTCAAATGATTAAAAAAATGAATTACTGACCTGCTTAAAGACAGAAAGCCCTTGTTTAGCAGTTGAGAAGGAATAACTTTCCAAATCCCTACCAGCATTGCCCAGTTCGAGTACTAAATAAAGTTGATTGTCTCCAAAAATTAGAGGAGATTCATTTTCCGAACCTGAATATCAGATTTTTAAAAATTAATTAAACTTAATGATAAGGCTTTGTCAGTTATGATACAGAATCTAACAAACCTCTGGTTTCATCGAACTCATCCCAGAGTTCAATCAGTCTCTTGGGGTATCTTCCTTTCACCACAGAAGATGAAACTAATTCGGCAAAACCAGGAGACATGAAATTGTCATTGTGTTCACGCAATTCACTTAGAGAACTGAGAAAAAAAGATTAAAATGGAATAAACCAAAGAATTGAAATTTAAAAACTACAAAATCATAACATATTACATAGTTAAAATTCAAATCTGTTTTATACTATCAATAACCATGTCATTTTCTTTATATATATTTATAATGGCATTAGTCCAGTGAACATTTTTAAAAATAAATATTACATTGATGTCCAGGTAACAATAAATGATAAATAATTCACTTCAACACGGGCAACAGAATAATTATAATTATTTTTCAAACAAAATTTTTTTAGTTTCTTAAATCAACTACAGAGGCATACCACCCCTCACTGATTCCTACAAGATAATGAAGAATATTCTGCTAAACCCAATATATCTGTATTACGAAAATATAGTAGGTGACCACTAAACTTCATCCTAAAACAAGTGCTCAACAAATTATGGTAAGTAGTTTAGGATGTGCACACTTTATTTGTTGATATCAAAGCTGCTTATGATTCTGTGGGCAAATACTATTCTTAAAAAATCATGACTGAACTGAGAGTTCCTGGGAAGTTGGTTAGATTGACGAAGGCAAGTAAAAATCATCCTTAACGTCATATACGGTACTTATTTAGTAGCGGATAGCGTCAAAACCTCCCTTCTTATCTAATCTCATTTCACATAACCTCCCTTATCTCATCTAACCTAAGTTATTCCCTCGTTTATTTTTTGTTTCTTGTGTTAGCTGTGTTTATTTAATTATGGATGTTGTCACATTGTGGGAATTGCCGTCTTCAGAAGAAGCAAAGGTCAAATATTGTGATAAAGGTCATAAAATGAAGTTCGACGGGAAGATTAAATGGAGATGCTTTCGTAGTTGTAACAAAACCGTTTCTATAAGGAAAGGACTAATGTTTTGTTATATTTTGATATATATGTTGCAATGTTTTCGTAATGTTTTTTAATTATATATTTATAATGTTTTGGTGTATTTTAATATACACATTGTAAAATAAAAGTATTTTGTTATTATTAGATTTGTTTCTGTTTTGTTCACAATTTCAATAATATCAATATAATACAATAAATATAAATACGAAGAGCTTATCAGTGTTAAGGTTATAAACATTGGCAGATAGCAGTCGGACGCTACTTGCTATTAAATAAGTACCTCATATACTTATACAAGGAGAAGTATCTGAAGCCTTTATTTGTTGGATAACATTATAAGTTGGAACTGGTTTTCAGCAGAGAGGTGAACTCTCACTGTCTTCAACTTAATACTGGAGAAGATGATAAGAAAACGTTCATATGAAAATGGAGGGGTTAACATTGCCTTCAACTGACATTCAATACAATGTTTAAAAGCTGTTGTAAATTTCTGATAATACATTGCTGGGAAACATAATATTTGAATGAACCTTATAATGAAAAAAGCAAGCTTTGCCTCGTCTGAGTAAAGAAGTAAGCTAACCTTTATGAAAGATCAGGAAGAATACCTTGATATAATAACACCTCATTTGGATTATGCGACTATAAGGGTTACTATGTTTTGTGTGAAATCTTCACATGGGCCCCTGTGGGCTAGTTTAGATAATTTACAGAAGAGAATTACTTACTCGGCAATAATGAGCTCATTGCAGATTTCAGAAAACTTTTTCTGTTTTTCTCCATTCACAGTGAAATCTCCTTCGATAGGAATGATTTTAATGACATTTTTTACATTTTCTCTGGGTATCATGAACACTTCCCCAAAAACACCTTCTCCTATTTTTATGCTTCCTTCTTCCCACCTAAAATGACAATCAAAAAAGTTATATACATTGAACATCTTAAAATGACATTACAAATTATTGTAGTTAGGAAAACAAAACTTAAATGATTATACCTATTATAAGTAAGAAAAATAAATTAAATTACAGAATATCTAGAGAATTTTCCACAGCAACTTTCAATATGTTAGCAGTCGGACGCAAAAATATTATCACTGATAAATAATAATATGTAACAAATAATAGTAATCGTCATAACAGAAGCAACAATCTCAAATTTGCCAACTATTCACATATAATATATACAAATTTCTGATTAAAATATTTGCAGTTTTTTTCTGCTTCATATGAACAATGAGCCAATTGTGACCAAATATTTGTAGGAGGAATAGATTAAAATAAATTAAAAATTATAGAATTTTAAAGCTTTATTGGAAGAAAACATTGGTGCAATGAGACAATTTAGACTTTCCAGTTAACCACACGATTTCAAGTTAGAGAATACAAACATAAAGCCTACATTGTGATCACTGAGTATTTGTAATATAAACTTTTAATCATAAGAATAGAGAGAGAAAACTACAATAAAATCATAATACTGCTCAACTGTGTTGAGTTGCTAAGTGACACAAAAACAAAAATAACATTTTGTGTTGGGAAAACGTTTCTGCTCTTCACTTGGTTAGCATTTATATCAATAATACATATTTTTAATTTGATGATAAATTCTTATGACCCTAACGCATAGCAGCCATGAAAAAACAAATTATTTAAGTAAAATCATAATTGTGGATTGATGGTTGACTGTAGTGAATAATTGAAGAGAAGGATGGTTGGGGTGATCAGTCAAAATAAATAATTATATTTATTTTTATATTTTCCGACGTTTCGGCCCGAAGTTCAGGCCTTCATCAGAGCTGATCAATCGAAGAAGCGAGGAAAGATTAGAGTGAAAAGACAAGAATCAAAGACAGAAATCAAAGACAGTAGTCTTTCCACGCTTCATCGATTGACCAGCCCTCATGAAGGCCTGAAATTCGTAGTCTCCCAAAGTGACCTCCACACTAGTGCAAACAGGTGTTGGAGAAACTGGCCTGCTCCAAGAGGGTGGAACTAGTGTAGGTCCCTGGTCACAAGAGAATTAAAGGCAACGAAAAAGCTGATTACCTAGCAAGGAAAGGAGCGGAATCTCCTATTGTAGGCTCGGAACCTGCAATAGGAATATCCAAAAAGCATCAGCGGAAAGAAGACCTTGATTGGACTTGGAAGATAACCTTGGAAGAAGACCTTGATTGGAACAGGTAAAGAATGGAGGGAATGTACTGGGCTTAGACAAGCGAAGCAATTTATTAAAAGCCCCTCTCCCTCCAAAAGAAAGTGGCTACCGGGCCTAACTAGGAAAGAAATCCGACTCATCATCGGAGTACTAACGGGCCACTGCAGACTTAAAAGACACTTAAAGATCTGTGGGATAGTGGATGATGAACTCTGTAATTTCTGCAGACATGCACCTGAAACTGCCCTTCACTTCATAACAGAATGTGACCGATTTGCGTCACTCAGATACGGACTTCTGGGAGCAGACAGAATCAAAGTATGCAAAGCTGCCTCCAATATATGGTCCAAACTTTTGAACTTCATCAGAAGAACAAAAGTTGCAGATAGGTCTGCACCTGAGTACAATTTGGGGCAAAGGACCAATAGGTGTAGGAGCCCTGCAACTTAAGCTGAAACGTGGGTACAAAATAAAATAAAAATATTTTATTTTTATCTGTGTGTTCTCTCTGACTGCAATCCCAATTAACTCCCCAACCATATAGTCTACAGTCAACAGTTTCTTCACCATTATATTATGTTTTCTGTATTTTATAACAACGTTAGATTTTTATTATTTGAATTTAAACTATTATTCTAATATTCACGATATTGAAGTCCAATATTGGCTTATCGGAGGCGCTTTTTTATGAAAATACTATAGATTGTAAGTGCACACTCAAGCATGTTTTATTTTAAACTTTACTATTATTTCGATGTAAGGTTATATCCTAATGTTTTTTGAGAATAATCTCAATTTTAAGATTGTGCTATCACATATAACATTACATTATAACATTATTTAATGAAAAAATGATATTTATTTTAAGATTGCATGTCGAACAATATTAAAATTCAACAATAAATTTCATAAATAATATGATGCGTCTACTAACAAAAAGGGATAGTATAACTCTGAATTCTAAAATCATTCAAAAATAACGAAAAGGTGTTGGAAGTTTTTTATTGATAGAATAAATTTGTGACAAGTCAACCAGCCTTCTTTGTAGTTTCATGTTTTGTACTGCAAATTAACTTTTCATTCAATATGAGCCATATGAACTTTTAAAAGTGGAACTATCCCTTTTAATGGAAAGATGGAAATAACTAACAATAAATTGTATTATTTAAGGAATTTGTGAACTCATTCCATCCTTTAACAATCATTTTATTTTAATATCGAATTAAATTTTTAATATACGCCTTCCCTTAACTTCACAATATTTTGAGAATATTGTATTTTCATCTTCTGGAATGTTTTTTTTTTCTTAGTTAATTTTTCTTATTTATTTATCATGGTCATTTAATTATACTTCTTTCTCTTTATTTATCATCCATATTGCATATAAATTATCAGCATTTTAAAAAACTCAAATACTTAAGGAGGAACATGGTACTTCTGAATAGGAACAATATATATTTTTTTTTTGTTTAAGAAGCCACAGGAATGAAAACTAATATCTTTCTGATCTTCAAGTCATTTTCTGAAGGATTTAGTTTGATTTAAATATAAAAAATTGGTAAGCCTTCTTGGAACTTTAATTTTAGACAATAAAAGAACTTTTGGAAGGGCAAAGGAATGGAATTGTCACTTTTTGTTAGTGTACACCTCATAAAATATGTGATTATATAATTCATACCACCCAAATTAGCGAACACAACCTCATACCATATATCTTTCCTCCATTATTAGGAATGTCTAATATTTGAACATTGTTCATTTTCTGGATGATTCCTAGAATTGTTAATTAAATAAATAATAATGGCAGTACAAAAAAAATTGACAAACAAAAACTATAAAAAATAAAAAAATTTATAATCTTTTTAACGATCTCTGACTGTCAAATATAATAAGAATGAATAGGCTGAAATGTAATGGCCATGTCAATGAGATGAATGAAGGACGACAGGTGAAAAAGGTCTTTACAGAAAGAATTGTTGCCACTATACCAAACCAAAGAGACGACCAAGGGAACGACGGAAAAAGGTGGACGAGGACATGCAATAGATAGACATCCAGATGGTTGAGGACGGAACTATGTGGCAAAGAGATGTTGAAGCAGGCTAAGAACCACTTCAGTTTGTAGTAGGTGAAGAAGAAAACAAAAAACAGGCTATAAAATATTATAATGAACTATTACCAAAATAATTTCCACCATAACAATTTTGGAAATATTCAGAGCAAGAACAATGTTCAAATAACAGGCATTGCTAATTATGGAGTAAATGTTTAAGTTATCAGATTAAGTTCATTAATCTGCATTGAAATTGCATATTATATATAAAATGTATTGTTAAATTTTACTGTTAGCCTATAGAGATGAATACGATGCTGGAAAACAAAAGCTCCTTATGGTATCTGATATAAAATAAGTGAGAATAACTGAGACTATGTTAGGGTTTAATTAGTCTTATAGATTATATTCTACTCACTCATCAAAAAGTATATCTTCAAATGAAATCGGTTCTGTCTGCTGACATACTTTCATGACAATGCTCTTAGAAGTGTCCTCAGGAAGCTGATAACAAATATCTTCATAGACGGTGGTTTCCTGAAGCTCTTGAGATTGTTTTGATTCATCCAGAACTTTGATAGTCTTGCTTTCTTCAACTCCTTCGTCTTCTTCATCCTCTTCTTTTATAGTAACCTCATGTAGTTTACTACTAACTGACAGTGGTGTTATCTTATCAGGACTTTCTTCCAATATTGTACCAGAGAGCAAACTTCTTTCAATACTCTCTTCCAGGATAGTACCAGCAACTAAAACAACAAATAGTTCAAAGTAAAATTAACTATGAAATGAAAACTAATTATATTTTAGGAAAAGAATAACTACATTGCTCAGAATTTAAATACTTTTGTCTGACTAAATACTTATAATGTGGTATTTATCAATTATCTGTTAGTAAGTATTTGACAAGTAATTAACATAATGACTACCACGGTAACTTTCAAGGTCCTAGACTAAAAAATTTAATTTAATTATAATATACTATATTATTAAAACTATAATTTTAACCCATATAAATCATCAAAGAGCACAACTTAGATCATCATAGCTGCAAAAATATGGCATCTAAACAACCTACGAGACAATTCTTAGTTGGCATTTTTGGCAAGAATTTTAACTACGAGTTATCTCGTAGTGCGGCAATCAACGTGTTAAAGTACCTCGGCTGGATTGTCACAGAAAATAATAGAAAATAAAAGAAAAGATGAACTCTGAATTCAAAATGGTAATCCACTCAGGAAAATTCAGGAATTTTCTTAATACATGAGAGAGAAAAATTAATGGACCAACCAAAGTCGAAAATGGATAAAGAATAAAAACTAACAAGGAACTTAGGGACCTGTATGAAGAACCCCATTTAGTTTCGTATGTCAAGAAAGGAAGAATAAGATGGTTGGAACATGTACATCGAATGGATCTGGAAAGAACCCCAAGGAAGATAATATAGGAACGCCTGGATGGTAAAAGAGGAAGAGGTAGAGCCAGGCTGTGGCGGTTAGGAGATTTCGAAGCTGACATACATCTTCTGGGTGTGATAGAATGGAGAAGAGCTGCAGAGGATCGCTTCGACTGGAGGAAAATTGTTGAGGATGGCAAGGCCCTTTATGAAACATAAGCCGTCAGAGATAGGGCGGGATGGCCAAATAGGCTAACGTGTGTGCACAGCGCTTGCCTTGCAACATGATATATAAGATAACTGGATAAAAATAGTCATGAGTTCGCGTCCCGATGGGGGGAGAGTTTTTTAAATCCCCGTCCCCATCTCCTGGATCGGGAAAATCCCGTATAGCCTTTTAATTAAAGGGGAGGAAGGGAGTTTTTGATTACTACTTTTCAATCAAATGGTGGTTTGATTATTAAGAAGGTGGAGGAATGGGTGTAGTTGAAGGACGTAGAAAATATTTTACACGCACAAAATTAAATGAATTAAGAATTTCAAAGAAGATAACATCAATGACAAAGAAAGCAGTTCCATAAGATAATGTATACAAACTGCTATGTTGAGTTCTTGTGAGAAGATTAAGAATATAGGGAGGGGGATTCTTAAATACATTATAAGAAATAATATTATCTCCATAATTAATCTTTTTGATAATCAAATGTAAGAAACATTTGGCGTTTCCCATAATAGCTTTTGTCATTAACATAACTACTCAAAATTCTTATTTCAATTAGGAAACTAATTTATCTTAGATGTTTAATGTTATTAGGGAAATGTTTTAAGGTCAAAGAACTCTACTTAAAATACAAAATAGGTTGCAAATTTGCACATTACCATGTACCACCATTATTTATTATGAGCCTGAAAAACAAAAATCACTGAAAATTCTAGAACATTAAAAAAAATAGTTGAGAATATGACAGCTGGCAGCAGGCACATTCTTTTATATAGAAAGGAATGAATATATGACAAAAAAAAAAATTCATAAAACAATTTATCGCGGAACTGTTGTAACATGTCTAATTGGTTATATCTACATAAAATCTTAGTTTAACAATTGAAATAATTTGAAAGACTGTATCTTTAATTTATTTCACAATCAAAATAAACGAACACAGTACTTTGAAGTAGGTACTTGATGATTAAGATGTGCAACTATGCTGAATAAACTTCAAAAAGCATTAATTAAAATTATAATTATTTCTACAGAATGAAAACATTTAACTATTCTGACCTGATAGCCTTTTGATAATTGTGGGTGAGGTTGCATGTGTTACATTGAGATGTGATGATCTCCTAAAACGTCTAGGAGCAGGAGATGAAGTGGGAGTCCGACATTGGCTAAGAAGAGAACTCCGTTTATTCATGAGGCTCTTTCGGCCATCACATATATCTGTACCTGTTTCTGAAATTCATAAATTGGAAAAATTAATGATAATATTTTTAGGATTTTATTTATATTTAATTTTTGAATATGGTTTTCCTTTTCAATAGTATTTATTTTCCATTTTACACAAGTAGGATTTGTTTCTTCTTAAAAAAATATTTACTCCCACATTGCTACATCAGCTGGTCCAAATTGTGTCCATATTGTAGATATCTATTGAATGTAATATTTCGCACCTCAAAAAACTCTTAAATATGAATTTTTATAACAATTAGAAAATTAAAATTTTCATCTAGCTAGACCCTCCGAAATTTGGTCAACAACCACAAAAATGATGAAAACTTTAGAAAGACTTCACCAATCACCACAGACATTATTAGAGATTTAGGGCTTTGTATGCAACACAAAATGGTACAAAACTGATCTCCATAAATAAATTAGAAACAAGGATATAAAATAAAAATGATTGAGAGTTTTTCTCAATTTCCAATGTAAAAAAGAATGAAATCTAGTATATGAAAAGTAATCAATGTGGGTTGGAGAAGTAGTAATTCAGCTTTCCATCAGTTGTGCTGACGTTGACTTAGGAGAAAATCCTGAGAAGTTATGAGTTCTTCAGTTATGGGCCAGAAAACAAATCCTCTAAGAAAATCAAGTATTAAATTTTGCAATTTTTGATTTCCGTAAAAATTCATATTTAAGAGTTTCAAAGGGCACTAGAAATGAATCTAACAAGCTTTTTCATAACAAAAATGTATTTGGGCAACTTTACTAGAAACACCTTTTATTTTTTGTATTTTATGATTCTGTTTCTTGTAATTAGTGCTTCTGAGGAGAAGGAACCTTCATACGATGGCGATTCAGCATCTCCTATAAACCGATGATGTTCTGGTCACTGATTCGTTTGAAAAGTTACAGCAGGCAGTGAACGAATGGTATGAGAAACACTGCCGAAAAGGAATGGAAATCAATACCAGCAAAAGCAAAGTTTATAGATAGGAAGATAGGTTGAAGATGTACATGTACACTGCTATGGAGAGGAATTGGAATTGGTCACAGACTTTATCTACCTAGGAAGTCAAAGACAGATCTGGGAAAGTGGACTCGGAAATATCTAACCAAATAAGCAAGGCAAATGCAGTCTACTACCAGATTCTCAACATTGTTGAAGGAAAGTGAAAGGTAACTAAGAACAACATCAAGCCCCATGTATTCAAATATGTATAGCTGCCAATACTTTTGTAAGGGGCTGAAAACTGAATATTGACAGACAGGTATGAGAGCAGTCACTGCTGCTGAAATGAAATTTCTGCGAACAACAGCCGGAAAGACGAAGAGAGACTGTGTACGCAACGAAAGGGTACAACAGGAATTTGAGATCGTCCCATTGAAAGAGGTTTTACAAACCTGCCAATTGAAATTATTCGGCCATGCCGTTAGGATGGAGAAACATAGCAACCCATTGAAGAAGTAGGAATATATATATATTCCAATTACGACATTCTCGGGCCTTCTGCCATTCGGAATGTAATCCATCTTCTTCAATGGGTTGCTATGTTTCTCCATCCTAACGGCATGGATGAATAATTTCAATTGGCGGATTTGCAAAACCTCTTTCAATATATATATATATATATATATATATATATATATATATATATATATATATATATAGACTTTGCAGAGGAAGAGGCAAAGATTTGCGCCAGGCTAGGAATCTAGCAAGGAACAGAGGAATGGAATTTGTGGCTGTGCATTCCCTACGTTGAGAGGTACAAAAGGGAGAAGTGAAAGAAGAAGAATTTATGAAACATTACAGCTCATTTAATAGAATAGTCAAACAAAATTTCTTATTCTTCACAAAAAAATGAAATTGATTGATATATAATAGCCTAAAAATCTGGGCAAAAATAAATAACATAAATTTTGTTTGAAATTGTATCATTTGTTTTTTCTTAGCACCAAGGGTCCATTGGAACGAATGCCGGAATATGTGTCCAATATTTTTCGATGTATTATTACCTACAAAAATTTGGTTGAAATCGGTGACCCACTGACTGTAGCCTCCCCCTTATAAATGATTTTTCGATGATATATTGTAATGTAAATATTACATAGTGATTTTAAATAATGGCACGAAGGCAGTGACGTCACAAACTACTGTCAAAAATGGACAAAGAGACAAAGAATGACAGATGGTAGGGAAAGAAGAGTCAGATGTTAAGAGAGAAGGTAGCCAGCAGGCTAGGAGAGATGATTGAGACCACAAATAATGATATGACCAACAAGTAGTGAGAATCAATAAAGAAGAACAAGAGAAGGTTGTAGAAGTTGAATACAGATGAAGATTCACTGTAGAACAGAGTGAGTGAAATATAAATAGTGACACTTGGAAAGCGCGCTAATAGTAGAACCCGACAAACAATGGAAATTCATAAAAAAGTTATGTATTATTAATGTATGGTTTTATATTTATAATTGAGGAATGAGTGTTTGTTGTCTCAACCCAACCTGAGACATAATTTTTGATTAAAAAAAAGATAATTTGATTCAGAAACTGTTTTGTTTACTTTTCAAAGGAAAAGTAACCTTACAATATATAATGGACAACATATATGCTTTTAAATACAATGTAAACATGAAAAAGAGGACAAAGACAAAATCCTAACAACTTTTATGCATGTGATGGTTAGTTATAAAAGTTTTTAAAAATACAGATTAATGTGAATGGATGGGCCAAGAGGGGGAAGACAAGGTGGGAGAAATCAGCATTTGTCATGAGCTCAATTAATACATAAGCCACATTCTTAATACTTATGTAAATCTATCAATATCAATAGCATTTTGTATTATCTCATTAGTAGATATTTTCTATTCTCTATTAATGGTTATCTCGATAATTCAAATTAACCATCGATCCCTGTGGCAATATCAATAATCAAAATTCTACTGTTATAACACAGAATTTGAAACAGGTAATAGATAGGTAATCATTAAATTAAAAAAGAGGATTCTTAATAAAACTAATTAGGAATAGACATTAGCAATAAATTAATTATAGGACTAGTTGATATGATAAATATATTACATTTTAATAACTTACTACATTGCAAATTGATGACAGACTCGATTGATAAGTCATAGTTCCGCCCTTTGGGAACAGTAGATGTACAGGTTTCTTCATCTCCAAGATGTTTCAGAACGGTTAGTGATCTTCGATACTTTTTGCCAGTTGGTAGTACGATATGCTCAATCTGTTGAACAATTTCGGCTTCAGTAGACTCGGAATCAGACTCTTCAATAACCATATTTAATTTGCTCTCTGACTCCCGGCTTTTCCGTGACAACCTACGAGATCTCCTCAGCCTTGACGCTTCTCTAACAGGACTGTGTTTAGTACTGTCATCTTCACCACTTGATCTTCCCATTTCTTCATTCTTTCCGAATTCCTCCTTAAACCTGTCTTTAATCCTCATGGATCCAGACTGATTACTATCTTCTTCCGAAGCAGTTGCTGAGTCACACATTGAGCCTTCGGCCTGTGTACTATCATCCGTAGGATCCTCTTGATTTTCGGGAAGAGGAAATAATGGAGCAAGAGTGAAAATACTTCTTCTAGGTGAAGGAGGACATTCCCATTCTGTACCCCTTTTTGAAAGTGACTTTCTTGATTTGCATATTGTATCTTCGTATTCATCTTGAATCCTCAGGCTAGAAACAGATTCCCTAAGCTGCTCAAGTGTTTCTCGAGTCAAACATTTTGTTGATTCTAGGGAGCTTCTTCTTGAACTCTTATTTGATTCACAACTCAATTCACCATCACTTTCATATTCGCAATCCCGTTCACTATCATCAGAAGCAGAATTTTCAGCAGAATAAAATGAAGAATCTTTTGATTTGGCTGAGCACGAACGAGTGATGTTATAGTTGGTAGTTTGCTTTACATCAAGTTTGTCATTAATCAAGTTAGATGATAATACTATTCCAGATTCATCATCTTTTAAAATATCTTTGTCAGAAGATGTTGAAACATCCGAACTGATGTTTTCCAAATTTGCAGTTCTACTAACTTCAATACTGTCTGAACTCTTAGCTATTTCTGACTCTGTGTACAAATCACCTTCTTCTGCACTAACTTCTTCACTCTGGGCATTACCACTTATTTCCAATTCTTTAAATTGAAGCAAATTGGCAGAGACATCAGAATCAACTATAGGCAATTGTTTTTGAGCATCCGAATCTCTTTCTTTAGCTAAGCCACTGGTCTCCTCTTCATCAGAGGAGTGAATAATAGATTCTTCTTCATCTAACTGCCCTGATCTCATTGAATAAGATCTTTCGTCAGCTGAATTTAAAACAGACTCTTCAATGTCGGATGAATCAACATTGAGTTCTGAACATTCCACTGCAATTTGTTGTATATTAATTTTACAAGGGACTAATACATTTTCGGAAATCTTTGTTACCTTGGGGTGTTCAAAAGAAGAACTTTTTACCATCTTACTAACATCTTCTTCAAAAAAATTAGGTGTATTCAAATTTTGTAAAGATTTAGAGACTGATACAGATTCCCCAGTCTTTTCCAACAAGTCTAATTTCATCTTAGAAGATTCAGTAAGAAGAGAAGGCTTGGCCTCTTCTGAAGATTTGTTAGTAGATCTTTCCTTAGATCGATTTATATCTACAATTAATAAATCTAATGAAGTACCTTTATCACAAAGAATAGGTAAGGTAGAATATAGAATTTCTGTTTCGTTCGCAGTAGCATCTTTTAAGTTCTTTTTATTTACAAAAATGTCTTCACCTTGCTCATTTATAGTTTTGCAATTTCCTTTCAAATTACCTGTTTCATTTGCAATTTGAAGTTTGTTTAGTTTTTCTGAGATTACATTTTCAGTAAATGAGGGAAAACCATAAAAGAATTCCTGAGAGGTATTCGCTGCATCATTGAGACTAGGAAATCCTAAAAAGTTTTCTTGATAAGAATGTCCTATAAATACATCAGACGATGTCTCCAAAATATTTTTAGGAGCAAAATATGTACTTCTAACTCCTTTTGGAGAAGACTCAACAGAAGGCTGTGTTGATATATCAGTAATAATAGGAGAAACAGTTGGCATATTCCGTTTATATGAATGAATATTGACTAGATTAGCAACATCAGAATCAACTTTTGGCGTACTCGATGCCACTTTGTTGGGTATTAAACTAGTTTTCAAATAAACTAGAGATGACTTTTCAAGTTTGTCATTCTTTTTCTTTTTCCTGATTCTATTTGAGTATGTTGTCTTCTTTTTCTTTTTTTGTCTCGTTTCTGAATAATCTGAAAGAAAGAATAATTTAAAAAATATAAATTTAATTACATCTTAGTAATTTCAGGTAAAAAAAATAATTTAAAGAAAAATACCTGCCACGCTTAATTCAGAGACATCAAGCCATGATTTTTGTAATGATCTACTGCTGATAAAACAACCTTCCCCTTCTTTAGATTTGACAGACGTACTCTGAGAGGTAAAACTAAAACAAAAAGAATTATAAGTAAATTTACAAATATACCAGAACTAAACTTATTTGGCTAAAATATAAGTACAAAATCATGATATACTGAATTTTACCTCAAATGGGTACAATTTTGAAAATCGAGTAGGCATCAGTGAATTTATGTTTGTATAATCTATTAATAATAATAGTTTGATAGAATGAAGTACTGAAGGTATCTGCAGAATGAATAGAAATAATAAGAGTAATTACTTCATGAATTTATAGGGGTTTGCCACCAGGAGCGTTACATGCCATAAGACTCAATACTTGAATTACTACCATTAATAAGATGAATATAAAATTGTTAAAAACTTTATATGATGTAATTTTTGTTGTATTAACAGGTTAGACCTAAAAATTTTAAGTTAAACATTTCATATTTATAAAGAAAATTCTTAAGTTCTCAATTTTCTGGATTAACGCTCCATCATCATAAATACACTACAATATATCTACTCAGAGGTACAATGAAAATGATCATTTCACCATTTTATTATAAATCTCGGAACTAATAATTCAGGTCTTATTAGGATATCTTGACCAAATTTTGTATTAATTTTGAAAGCTGATATTCAAAATCAGTTATTTACATTTTTTTCTTCTTAATTTTGTATTCGTGAGCTCTTATAAGAAAACTGCATTAGTGTTTTAATTAAATTTTTAAAAAGTCATTTAGATAATATGCCATTTTTCTTGGCAAATGAAATTTTCTCAGATTTAGTACATGATGCTTTTAGTCCATTCATTCATTATCTTATGAAGATATTTTGGCAAGTTAGGAGCAATTACTAGTAGGGATAGAAACTTTTATGGAATTTTTTTATTAAGTTCCATTTTAACAGCTTTTATGGAACTTTTTAGGAAACAAGTTGTTTAAATAAAAGTTCCTAAAAACTTTTTTGTAATATAGTTCCAGATTTATGGTAAAATTTTAACTTGTATTTATTCAATAAAACTGCAGGTAAGTACACTGGCATAGGTCATACGAAACATTGTTTGCTTTCACGAATAATGAAGAGAGGGACAATGGTTTAAGTAAAGATCCACCAGCACAGTGGATCTACCGCTGCACACAGCACATCTTAAGACCAGAATATGAATGTCTATGGTAAAAGGAGGCCCTCTTGAATCTGTTCTAATAAGTTTTCTTGCCTTTTAATATTATATTATTGGCATTGAGATAACCTCTATCAAAGAGGTGAAGGACCTAGGTGTTACACTGGATAATAAACTATGAGGGTGGTCTAAAAACATTCGGATCACAACATGAAGATGGCCTACCTAAGTTTCAGCCATTTTAGACACACAGTTTTTATGTGTTTTCACTCAAACAGTCGTTTGAGTGTTTTTGTGAAAATAGACAAAATCGAGTATCGAGCTGTCATTAAATATTTGTTTTTGAAAGGCAATAGGCCTACACAAATCAAAGAAGAGTTTGATTCTATGTATGGGGACTCTGCACCATTATTTATCACAGTGAAATTTAGGGCAGCTGAATTTTAACGTGGCCGTAAGAGCTTGGGAGGCGACGAACGTTCGGGACATTCAAAAACTGCAACTACCAACGAAAACATTGCTAAAGTTCACCAATGCTGCTAGACGACCACCAAATTAAAGTGAGAGAGATAGTAGAGGTTATGAACATGTCAAAAGAACGTGTTTGTTACATATTAAATCAACATTTAGATATGAGAAAGCTGTCCGCATGTTAGGTGACGCGTTTACTTACGTTAGACCAAAAATGTGTTCTATTTAGAATGAACATTTCCAAAGCTCTATTGGCGCAATAAGTCTGAGTTTTGATGCCGATTAATTACTGTAAATGAAATTTGGATACACCATTATACACCCGAAACAAAAGTACAGTCCAAACAATGGACTGCAAAGAGGGAACCAGCTCCAAAAAAATCAAAAACTGTTTTCTCAGCTGGAAAAGTGATGGTGACTGTTTTTTGGGATAGTCATGGAGTTATTTTAATCTATTATATTCAAAAAAGAAAGACCATTACCGAAGCATACTACGCATCATTACTTGACAAGCTAAAAGCAGAACTTGCGGAAAAAGGGCCACATTTGCAGAAAAAGAAAATCCTGTTTCACCAAGACAACGCAATCTCACACTTCAGTGGTTACTATGGCGAAAATCCACGAATTACGGTTTGAACTGCTTGACCATCCACCTTACTCACCAGATCTAGCCCCAAGCGACTTCTTTTGTCACCTTATCTAAAAATTGAGCTCAGAGGACAGAGATTTTCGTCAAATGAAGAGGCAATCACCTTCGTGAACAATTATTTTGCAGAAAAAAACGCCAAGTACTTTTGGGACGGGTTACAGAGATGGGAGCATCGCTGGGAAGAAGTGTGTAGAGTTACAAGACTATGTTAAAAAAATTTCAGAAAAAATGTCTTGTATTTTTGTTAGGTCGGAAACTTCTCAGACCACCCTCGTACAATGGAACAGTCATATGAAAACCACAACTAACAAAGCACTCAAATGCCTATGGGCTTCTAAAAATGCCATAGGAAAATCATGGGGGCTTAAACCATGAATGTTTACAGGCTGTGTTACAGCTGTTAGACCACTGCTTTTATATTCGGCTCCGGTCTCGTGGCAAAGAGCGAAAATTTACTTTAACAGGATACAGCTTGAAAAACAGCAAAGATTAGGCTCTCTAATGATAACTGAGGTAATGAAAACTATTCTGATTGCTACTGTAAAGGTAATGTTGGACGTTTCGAGCTAATTTGCTCATTCTCAAGTCATCTACAAACAATTTACAAATATTTAAAAAAAAAATAATTAAAAATTTACAAATAAAGGGGCAGGGTGGCCAAATGGGCTTACGAGTGTGCACAGCATCGCGCACTGTCCAGCAACCTGATAACCAAAGTTATAAGGAACAAAATAAGTACGAATTCGCGTCCCAGCGCTAGTGGGGTTTTAAACTCTGGTGCCCTCATCTCTGGCACGGAAAAATCCCATATAGCCTAAAAAGTGAGGAAGCGAAGAACAAAAAAAAAAAAAAAAAAGACTAACATAATTGACAACAATAATTACTCATTATCTAGTCATATAAAAAGTGAGAAAGTGAGACCTTACCATGGAATGGACAAGCATTATAATAAATGCGCAGAAAATGAGACAAGGAATAATTTTATTTTTGTATTTAATGTTATTTATTAAATGAATATTTAATGAGATTATAATATATAAATAATTTTTGGTAAATTCTTACTTTTTTATGACTAGATAACGAGTGATTATTGTTGTCAATTGTTTTTTAATTATTAGTACCTGTCATGAGAATGAGTATATTAGCTCGAAACATCATTGAATGTGAATAAATCTTTGAAGCATAAGAGCTTATATATTCCTTATAGAGACCATATATAAGAATTATTGAAGGAAGCTAGTCGACTATTCGACATATCATGGGTGATAAATATTCAGGACGCAGTCATTATAAACATTTCTTTTATTTGTGCCGACGTTTCAACCCGAACATGTGGGTCATCATCAGGACGTGGTTCGAGCATTGAAGGCTTTCAAGTAATTGGAATAGTATATTATGGACTGTGTTCTGAATATTTATCACCCATCATATATAAGAATATTGAGTGCACTTGAAAAATACCATTTTAGTAGCTAAATATAGGCATAATATTATGGGCACGGTAATGCTGGGTTTTCATCCTATTCAGCTTGAGATAAAATCACAAGGCTTGAAAACTTTAGCAATATTAAAATTATGTTTGAGGGTGTATACCTATGTGTATAGCTATAAAATATAAGCATGTCTGAGTCAACTTTTGTCGAGATAAATCTGTTTTTTCTAATGATAATTAAGTAGAATATGATGAGGAGAGAACAAATTATATAATAAATAACATAAACTTCCAACACAGAGAAAAATAACTATAAATCTGTGCATTGAGTTTTAAAGGCGAAAATCATATTTATGAAAAAACGCAATTAAAAGTTTCGAATTTTCACAGATGGTCATCCCTGTAATAGAGGCATAACTTAGCCTCAAGAAAGGGAGAAAAATTAGCTTTCTAATGATACTCACAAAATTTACACCCTACTTCACAGGTACCACAGAAATATTACGTATTTGGCAGTACTGAAAGTTTTCTTCTAATAGTTTCAAACATACCATGCATATAAAAAATGTAGTACAAACCATCAAAAGAGTTTCTGTGAACTTAATGTTTAAAGAATTTTAATAATTTTCTTTTTTTATTGTTATTCCAAATTTCACTGATTTATTTTTAATGAGTGTTGGTAACTTTTCAATTTTTTTTATTCATATTTTTTTTCCCTTCCTTTTGGTTTATTATATTCAATGATGGACCTTTGTAAATAAACTAAGAAAAAAATGAAAATTCACTACCCTCAAAATTTGAGGTTTTACGTTGAGAGCTCTAATTTCTTTTAACTGGAAATTCTATTTAGGAATAGAAATTCTTGATTAAGAAAGCCTATTTTTTCCAAATTAATTTTTTTAAATATATAAAAAAATATATACTTAAAAGAATAAATATACAGCTGGAAAAATATGTTTGCGGAGTTCAATAATTTTATCCCAGATAGAGCCAAAGAGTTTGACTTAACTTGCTTTCACTGATTTGAAAGTTAAACATTTTTTTTTTTTACAGATAGACGGGTTGTAACTTAACTCTATTAAGCTTAAAGTTTAAGTCAGTAAATGTTCTATCAAAAGAAAAAGGATTTTCCAAACCTTTTTTGCAGTTCAAACTAGTAGCTCCTTAACATTAATGCACATATAATATATTGTATTTTAGTAAAGAAGTAAAGATTAAAAGGTGAGACAAATGAACAATATTTCTACAAATTATGAACAGCAATATCGTTGATTGTAGAGGTCATATTGTTTAATAAGTAACAAAACCTATAAAGTATTAAATAAAATAATAATGAAGAAAAACATATTTTTTTTTGCTAAGAATGATAGCAAGATGCCAAAATATTTCAACAATTAATCAGAGTTTCATAGATTTAATTTAATTAAGCAATTTAACTTTGTGGCACAAGTGGTAACTGAACAGTTCAAATTTGACATAAAACAAAAAACAAATTATAATAATCCAACTCAATGTATAATCTCCTTCTAAGCTTCAAGTTATGGAAATAATAAATTATGAGATGCATAATTAATAAATCAACAGAGATCTATTTAAACAACAGTACGTGTTTTGGGTATGATCTACAAATATATATATGTATATTAAAAATACATCTACTTTTTCTGAATATAAACATGATTGTGGAAGATTTTTGGTACTACAACTTAGAGAACTGCTTAGTTTTCGGTAAAAGAAAATTAAAGATTAATAATAAAATACTATATACTATTGAGAATTGTGTACAAAATTTGTTTTATTAGCACACTATACTGTATCGAATTTGAAATATATGTTTCTGATTAATTTAAATATGTTAAAACTAGAAAATAATTTGTAACATCTATTTAGATAATTTTAACTTTGGTAAACTTTTAATATTCTTAGTTGAATAACTATACAAGCTTAATTTATTCTTGAAATAAATTCATGAATTATAAATAATAGGTCCTAATAAAGGATCAAATTCTGCAAAATACACTTCCAAAACAACAGAATTAACCAATTAATCAAGTATTAATATGAAAACAATTTGTACATACGTTAAGAAAATCATGATCCTTCACTTTATTCGCACTAATTTATACAAATAGTAGAAATTCAGTTATTTAGAAGGAATAACAGTTTTCTTTGTTGTTTTTTTCTATTACATTAACCAAGAAAAGCAAATGAATTATGTAATGGTTTTCATAATACTTCTCCTAGTCACAGTACACAGAAAATAGAGTCAATTTGACAACTAAAATATCTGCATGTAGAAAATAAAATATTAAAAAGTTCTGAAAAATATTTATATATCAGTTTAACATATAAGTAAAACTAATCAATATACAACAGATAAGTGCAGAAATACACTTTTAAATAATACGTATCTTTACTTTAATCACTTATAACTGTCACTTTTCTGGATTTTTATGATAAAAGATGATTGATGGGCATTTTCAATTACAATTATTTAGTCAAAATAATTAAATTCTTAATTTAAAACAAAATGAAAGAGTACTTTTACTTTTGTTTGATACAATATTTCATTTTCATTTTTAAAAATTGATGAATTATAAGTGATGAATTCATAACATATTGGTGGCCTTACTCTTTAATAAAGAAATATACACACGTAATCTTAAATTGTTCAGCAATTAATATTACTCTGGATTGTTTATGGACAAAGTAGGGGATCAAACTATTATCTTTATGAATAAAATGAAGGGAACATTATAATAATTCAATCAACTAGATCTCAATTCATTTTGTCTTATTTCTTTGATTCCTACTTAAAAGTAAAAGATAATCAATTAAACATGAATCAAAATTAAACTAAAGCAATTGTAAATAAACTGTATTAAGAAATATTTACATACAGAACTTATAAAAAAGCTAGTTGACCAAGTATTATTTATAACCTAGCTGTCACAACAATTGTATGAGAGAAGGGTGGTATTTCAAAATCTATTTCATCCATTGAATAATACATATCTGGACTGTTACTAAGTGGGTAAGACCCCATCCCCTCTCAACAAAGTTTAAGGAGTTAAAACAAACCATAATAAAAATAACAATGTACATACCTTCCAATAGATTTTTTCTTAGAAGATTCATTATCAGATGAAGATTCAAATATATTTGATAAATTTGACGTTTGGCTCCTCAGAAGTCTATCGAATGTGTCTTCTTTTTCAATTCTTCTAATGCTGCTTTTCCTCCCGTAAGTCTTTAATATTGGAGCCATAATCAAAAGTACACTCCCGTTTTAGACCATAGCATTATAATTATCACAGTAGTTAGTTAAGTAAGGTTCAATTGAAACGTAACTTTAAACAACTAACGGTAATCTTTAGCTGGTCGTCAACCTTAGACATCAGTGCCTTACGTATACTGGAGCCCAGCTGGTTTCCGTCAACTTGAATTGGAAAACAAATCTGTTGCAGGTCGTTAACTTCAGTTCGTCGTTCGTTTTCTAAGAAGGAGCGTTAGATGCATGCTACATGTGTGATGATATATGTAGTGGTAGTTCTACTAAATGACATTAATACAATTCCATAAACATATATATGGTTATATGAAAACTATTTATAAGAAACAATATCTTCCAAGAAAATAATATTCAGATATGTTTATACTTAGTTTAACCCTTTGAAGGTTATCTACATAGTTCAATAAGTTTCACTCATCTGATGAAGGTATAATTACAACTTATTTTACGATGCCTAGATTTTTAATAATAAATTTTTTGATAAATAACAATTAATACCAACTAAAAATAACTATAGGAGAAGTAAATAAAAACCGAAAGGTTCAAAATCACCAAACAAATACTGGTGCTTAGCGGTAAATACAGAGCGCGCCATGGTACATGAGTGGGGTGCTGTTCGATGATCGGGGACGTAAAAAATCGAAGTATCCGGTATTATGTTAAAATATTTAACCGTATCGGAGAAATCAATCAGTTTGGGATGCAGATAAGGATAAAAAATAAGTGAGGGCCCTAAGCTGTAAACATTTTGAGAATAATAAAAAAAAAAAATGAAAATTCATACTAACAATTAACGCTCGTGCACATAAAACGCGATGCGTTCTGCGACAACTTTGATGATTCGCTGTGGAAGAGCGCGCTCGGTGTGTCTGTAACAGTAGAATAGAATGTAATACAACTAGATCGTCTGAACGCCTAAACACTAAAACGATTCTTGCATCAAATTCATTCCTAATTATTTAATATTTAAAAAAAAATGTTATTAAACTTTGTATAAAAAGTATCACCCTCCTATCCACACATACTGCCATTTTATCTTTAAAAAATAGATCGGAAGGTAGAGATTAACTCCCTCCCAAAAAAAATTAAAGTAAAACAAATTATCACCCACTTACCGAAACATATATCCGTTTTATCTTTTTAAAAAATTGTGTTATAATGTGTAATATCAGTTTCGTACGACTTTTCGTTTTTGAGCCAGACTGTTAACATAGACACACACACTCACATACACACGGACCATTTTGCGGGCTTAAGTTATTTGGACTCAGGGTACCTCAAAACGTGTATTTCCGTTGAAAACTCATATTCGAAAATTTACGTAATCGCAATACTTTCCCTTACTAAATATTACTTATATAGGTAAATGAAAGTAAAAAATCTGGTGCGCGCAATACACAACTTTCACTTACTGCTCAACTTTGAATAGAAATTATTTTCTGCTCATTAAAACGATATTGTATGAAACTTTCAGGGATTATGCAGATTGGTGCCTAGTTGGTCTCATATCAATTTTATCAAATTCCATCCAGCACTTCCGCTTATGCACGCGAAAACGTATTTTTTTAGATATGCCAATATTTCAGAAAGGGCTTGTCCGATTTGGATAAAAGGTAGATATTAGTGAAAAATTAATTTAGTGTCAATTTGATTGAATTCTGTCCACTACCTTCTCTTATATAGCATTTCCAAGTCAATTTCAACCTTTTCCAAATCAAATTCAACCTTTTCCAAGTCAAATTAAACCTTTTCCATTTCAAATTCAACCTTTTCCAAGTCAAATTCAACCTTTTCCATTTCAAATTCAACTTTCGAATTTTTGTCAATTTTCGATTTTTTTCGAAATGAAGGCCACTTACTATATTATCGAAGGCATAGCTTTTGAAAAATACAAAAAAAATTTTGATAACGCGGTTGCATATCCATTTATTTTAACATTTTAGATTTTTTCAGTGTGATATTTCTATGTCATTCAGTCAATTACCTTTCCAAGTCAAATTCAACCTTTTCCAGATCAAATTAAACTTTTTCCAAGTCAAATTCAACCATTTCCATTTCAAATTAAACCTTTTCCAATTCAAATTCAACCGTTTTCATTTCAAATTAATGTTTTAATTTTTTGTAAATCTTATATATTTTTTTTAAATAATGGCCATCCCCTCCCCCCCTCCAATATGAAAGTCTATTATTATGCTCTCCTAAGTAGAATTTTCACTTACGGATATCGATTTATTGTACCTATTCGGATTTATTAGGGACTAGTATTATGCTGTCCTGTAACTAGTTTTGAAAATAACACCCATTTTAAGATTAAGTGCTGCGTTTCGAATCATTTAAGTTTTTTTGACTTATTCGATATAAGGGTGTATTTTTATGTTTCCCGATCAGTAAATTTTGAAAATGACATCCATTTTATGTTTACGCCACTGTGTTTTGACTTATTTAAGTTTTTAGAATTTATCCAATATAAAGGTCTACTTTTATGTTTCTGGAGCCGTAGATTTTGAAAACGACCTCCATTTTAAGATTAGGCCACCGCGTTTCGACTTATTTGAGTTTTTCGGATTTTTTTTTCATATGAGGGTGTATTCTTATGTTTCCGGAGCCGTAGATTTTGAAAAAGACCTCCATTTTAAGATTAGGCCACCGCGTTTCGATTTCTTTGAGTTTTTCGGATTTTTTTCATATGAGGATGTATTCTTATGTTTCCGGAGCCGTAGATTTTAAAAACGACCTCCATTTTAAGATTAGGCTACCGCATTTCGATTTCTTTAAGTGTTCCGAATTTTTATCATAAAAGAGTGTATTCTTATGTTTCCGGAGTCGTAGATTTTGAAAATGACCTCCATTTTAAGATTACGCCACTGCGTTTCGGCTTATTCAAGTTTTTCGAATTTATCCAATTTAAAGGTCTACTTTTATGATGCCGGAGCCTTAGATTTTTAAAACGACTTACATTTTAAGATTAGGCCACTGTGTTTCGGTTTTTTTAAGTGTTTTTGATTTTTCCTTCGAATAAAAAACAAAATACGAAGGATTAATTTATTTTTCAATAAATAAATAAAAATATCTAATCAAAATAAATAAAATATGTATTGTCTCATTTTTAATTTAATTTTAGTTATATTTTTTAATGTTGTAGTCTTCTGTCACAAAATTATAAGATTTCGAACAATTAGCTGAAAAATCTGAATACGGAAGGTTAAATTTATTACCAGCTGCTTTTCGGCTTTTTGTTTTTATTCTGTGGTTAATTTAACTTTAGCTTTATAATATTTATTTATTTATTCATACTCGAAAACATATTGATGAAACTTTGTATTGAAAAATCCAAAATGAAGCCTAATTATTCGATATGCAGCGGCTTAATCATAAAATGGAGCTTAAATATTAGATAAATTTAAATATTAAAGATTAGAAAAATTTCAATACGTCTCGGATAACATATAAGTAGATCCTTATACCGAAAAAGTAAAAAAAAAACTTTTATAATCCAAAACACAGTGGCATAAACTTGAAATTGGGTCATTTACAAAATGGGGGAAATCTACTGCTCCAGAAACATAAAATTAGACCTTTATACTTGTTAAATTCTAAAAACTTAAATAAGTTGAAACGCAGTGGCGTAATCATAAAATAGAGGTCATTTTCAGAATCTACGGTTCCGAAAACATAAAAGTAGACCTTTGAATTGGATAAATTTGAAAAACTTAAATAAGTCAAAATACAATGGCGTAATCATGAAATGCAAGTTATTTTCAAAATCTACAGCTCCGGAAACATAAAAATACACCCTTACATGGAATAAATAAAAAAAACTTAAATAAGTCGAAACGCAGTGGAGTAATCTTAAAATGGAGGTCATTTTCAAAATCTACAGCTCCGAAACATAAAAATACACCCTCATATGAAAAATATCCGAAAAACTCGAAATAAGTCGAAACGCGGTGGCCTAATCTTAAAATGGAGGTCATTTTCAAAATCTACAGCTCCGGAAACATAAAAATACACTCTCATATGAAAAATATCCGAAAAAATCAAATAAGTCGAAACGCGGTGGCCTAATCTTAAAATGGAGGTCGTTTTCAAAATCTACGGCTCCAGAAACATAAAAGTAGACCTTTATATTGGATAAATTCTAAAAACTTAAATAAATCAAAACACAGTGGCGTAAACATAAAATGGATGTCATTTTCAAAATTTACTGATCGGGAAACATAAAAATACACCCTTATATCGAATAATTCAAAAAAACTTAAATAATTCGAAACTCAGTCACGTAATCTTAAAAAGGAGGTTATTTTCAAAAACTACTCATACGATAACAGACCCACACATCGAAAAATTAAAGATAATTAAATAAATAAAAAAAGGTTGAATTTGAAATGGAAAAGGTTTAATTTGTAATGGAAAAGGTTGAATTTGACTTGGAAAAAGTTTAATTTGATTTGGAAAAGGTTGAATTTGACTTGGAAAAGGTTGAAATTGACTTGGAAATGCTATATATGCGCAAATGCGTTTTCCTAGAAAGGTCTAAATCTCTAAAACCGCCCGCCCGTTCGATTTGGCTCAAATTTGGAGGGAAGTTAGGGGTTAGTAAACAAATAATCAAGTATGTATGAATTTGATCAAATTCCGCCCACTACTCCAAAAAAATAACACTCTAACCAAACAGTTAATTTATAATGTACTTTTTGGTCGATTCCAAACGTTACTGGCGTGACACTTACGGCCGTTACTTATATTTCGTGTAATTTTCAGTGAATTTAAATTAATTTTTACTCTTTGTATATAAAAAAAAGACCTATTTGTGATTGTGTTTATTTCTATGGAAGTTCAACTAGCTCGTCATGGTCTCGATTTCATCTTTAAACTTCAAAGTTGTGTGAACTTCACACATGTTTTTATATCAGAGTTGATTCCAAACAAACAAAAAGTTGGATTTTCCTATTAAGTATATATCACTACTGTTAGTG